TCTTTGGAAAAATCTCTGATTATCTTCAATATATTTCTTCCCATACTTGTAATGAGGAAATAAGTGCCATCACTGTTATCTTCTGGACCAAATAACATTTTGGATTTTAAAAGAGATTAGCAGTTCAAATCATATTAAATGCTAGTTATGTATATAAAGTTATCAACTTGTTAATCTCATTCAGAACTTTGAACTTCTAAGTGTAATACAGAATTGCACTTAAAGTGGAACAATTGTCATTGAATTTGAGTATCAGAAATAGCAAGGATTTGATATTAAATTCCACTGTATTTTATAGTGACCCCTATGTTAGTAAAAAAAAAATTGATAAATCCTCCCAGATTTACTGAGAACCTTTAATGATGCTCCCTATAGATGTTGACTGCATTAACATTACTGATTGTTTTAAGCACAGACTCATGGAATTGTTTAGATTGGAAAAGCCCTCTGACACTGCTAAGTTCAGCCCTTCAGCACTTTCCATGGCTGTACTGTGTATAAGGTCTTCACATTGCAAAGAGAGTTCCCAGAATACATTCAGACATAATTTTGGGTTTGCTGTAGGCGGATAGACTTTGGTGAACCATTAGAATTCTTTTTAACAGTTATCTGTGATTCTCTGTTTGATAAGGTTTTAATTGCACAAGACTGTACTTACTTTTCCACTGAGATTCTTGCCGATTCATTCAGTTAGAGTTCACTGGCAAAGCTGCTCTAAGGATGAACTGGCTGTGTGCCTTATAGGAAGCCTCTGTCTTTTGAATATTGCTTCACTGGCAGCAGAAGTTGGGCAGTGTAGAGTCCATGCAGCAGGAAGAATCGGGGAATAAATCAGTGAAAGGATCTTCTATTCCTACATGTGTGGAAATTCAACCAAATATTTATACTGATGTCTTTTTCAAGTCTTGACCTCTAGTCTTAGCAAAGAGTTTCAGCTTTTAGGGACAGAAATCAATAGAAAGTCAGGAGCTCTGGTGGGATTTAGGAGTCTCAGCATCTATTTGGATATGCTTCAACTGCCCCACTACTGCTTCTATTTAAATGAATGATTAACGTCTATTGATTCCAATGAGGTAAGAGCTACTTCAGTGTTCTTACGTGATCGTGAGTGAGCCACAGAAAATGAACTTTTCTACTTGCCTGAGTAGTTTTTGGGTAGATTTAGACAGCTCTCTTCTGGAAATAGTCAGTGGAAGTGCTACAGCAGAGTACCCTGACCCAGGCTGAGCACTGAGAAATCGTGTGCTCCTGATGGTTTGACTTCAGTCTTCATCATCTGTCACATGGAATTTGTCAGTACCACTTCTCAGATGATTGAAAACTGCACTTAAGGACATAATAGAAGTGGATTATTTCTTATGATCTAAATTATAAGTGGGACAAAAGGTATAGGAGTTGCACATTGAATGATATCAAGGGAGATAAATACTGCCCATCCAGCAGTTCTGTAATCACCATCCATCCTCACAAATGTTTTATTAAACTTGCCCTCTCCTGGCAATTTCAATTAGGTTCTGGTGCTGTGGTCTCCACTATTGAGTTTGAGCTGATGCAAAAGAGCACATTGTGTTTTTCTTGTACTTTCCTGGGCAAATTTCCTTGTGTCTTCTTCTCAATGCTTCTATAAATCTTTCTCCTTTTTCAAACACAGTTCATGTGTTTGAGAAATCAGTCTAATCAGCTACCATGAATTTAAGGTACTACAATTAATCCTCCTTTGGCAGGAGATTGTAGGCTTATTTAATATCCATTCACATCAGTCTTGAGCTGCAATTTTCCCACTGCTTTTCTTGCAGCTTAGTCAGTGTGGGCAGGTGATCTAAAGGAGAAGGGCTGAAATTGTCTGTGTAGCTTCGGTGAATAAAGGTCCTCATGATGAAAACTGACCATATAGTAGAGGTAATATCCTTCAGAGTATATAATTAATTGCCATCAGCAGTGACTGGAGTAACATTTCAGGAGTGACTGTAAATGGGTTCCTAGAGCTGATATTTCTCTCATCTGACTTTTCTTTTTCCTGTAGAAATCCCAGAGCTGACATATGTAGGAGGCATTGGAGTGGGGCACTTGGTGTGATGGTGTTCCCTGATTGCCAGCAGTGGCCAGTGCCAGGACCTCCTGTTAGCAGCAGGAAAGGCAGTCCTGGGACCACCCACATCCCAGGGGTAACCCTGTTTAACTCCTGCTAGTGAAGGCTGGTTGGTGCTCAGACTCAAGAGCTTTTGCATCCTATAAAGCTCTTGGAGATCTTTATTGTCGCTTTGCTTTTACAGGACTTACTAATAAAACTGGGGTTTTTTCTCACTCTAAATACATGTTTTCAAGCCACTGAGTCCACTTGTTATATCTCCCAGAAATATTATATCTAGTTTTGTACACAATTTAGGGTTTTTTAAGGTATATTCATCCTGTTTTGTATAGGCCCCTTTAGTCTTTCTCTTCTCTCATTGAAATTAAGTTTTGTGCTCTGTATGGGTTTTTTGTTTTCACTCTTAAAAGCCATGTTGGATGATTATTGACAAATTATGTTTTATCTGAAAGTTAAACTGGAATTTGGTCATTAAGGAAATATAGTTATATGTCAGTGAGAAGACTTTTTAGAACACAATGTATGTGAATAGGTTTTAACTGAGAACTTAGTCCTGAAGTGAAATAGGCTTCTCAATTTTTAATGGATTAACACAATTTCAATTCTCTGCACTAAATACAGAGTGAGAGCTTCATGGCAGAGGTAAAACTCAGCTTAGAAAAGGATGTGAAGCGATTTGAGTAAGGTAAAGGTTTCTGGGATGCATGCCACTCCTCAGTTGTACTTTACAGACAATCTGTTACATATTAAGGATTCACCTGAAAATGGGAAAATTTTGCTTTTCACTAATCATAAAAACTATGGGTTTGAATAACGTTGACCACTGCAATGTTGAAATGTTGTGGTGTCACTATGAAATCTGAGCAAAACCTTGTAGCATACTTACAGTGTTAAATGAGTTTGCCAGAAAAACAGATGGGATCAGACAAAAGTCAGACCAGAGCCATTGCCTACTGCCAGCCAAGCAGAAACACTCCTTGTGCTTTCCATGATTTCTGTAAAATGGGTCCTGAGAAGTGGGGAAAGAATGGGACAGGACAGTGGGTAAGTGCTGTTCTCCACTCGGGTACTTGCTGATGCTCCCTTGGCAGCCCTTGGAGCTCTTGCCTACCCTGGCTGTGACTGCAGAGAAACTGAGGCTATGGGAGGTTATTAGAAGAAGCCATCAATAGATAAGAATATCATTAGGATCAGGGCTATAAACCAGTAAAATAGCAAAGGTCAGTAGGTTCCTCTTTGACTGAGGGGTATGCTGCCAGTGGGAAGAGCAGCAGATACCAGCATGCCGTGAGAGAAAGGAGCATTTCTGCAGCAGAGAGGTTTTGCAATAGTACCTGTTCACTGCACTGAGGCATACTGGGAAACTAATTCATTTAGCCAAAAAAAAACTTTTAGGATTGAGGGAAAGGTTAAAATATATCTGCATGTACAGATGATTTTCAAGCTGAGAAAATACATTTTCAACTGTCACATGGTGGTATTCTCTTGGGTTCCTGGTTTTATGTTGATATATTGCATTAGTAATTGTTTGTTAATGATATGGAAATTACCATGCACAAATTCAAATTGCCATTGTCAGAACTGAGGTTGGCAGTATTACCCAGTATGAAATAGATAACAAATGTTATTTCAGGAAGAAGCAAAGGCAATTCAAGAAATCAGTATTTCATTTGCTTTGTAAAACTACTCGTACTAACATAGAGAGACTTGGTGTGCTCTAACGGTGCTTGTATATTTTGAAATGCATATATTTCTAATGCTCTTTTTTAAAGGAATAAAATACCAGAATGAAAACATTTGCATAATATTTGGCATGTTTAAATTATCTTTATTTATCCTTTGTAGAGTGACTAATACTGTTAGCTGTTAAGTTGCTTCTATTATGGTCTGAATTTTTGAAGCCATGCAGTGTCTCATTAATCCAGTTGAATTTTTTGCAAAATGTGAGCTTTTTGCATTAATGTAACGTTAATGATGTTGGGATGGATTGTGTAGCTCTGCAGTTTGCTTAATTTTAATGAATTTCCTCCATTAATGAAAGAAGATTGTGAAGTGATGAAGAGAAGATCATGCAGTAGCACCAGAAAAACCTTTATGTTGCCCTGGATTGTATGGTTAGATATTTAGATAGTGTCTAGTTGAGGAGGCAATAATATGTCAGAATACTTTATTTGTACAGTGATTGAATTTTGATCAAGACACAAGAATTTTCATTTATAGCTATTGTGTTGTTCTATTTTGAATTTTGGTAACTTTGTTTTATTTACAATGAAAAATTATTCCTATCAACTCCAATGTTCAGGTAACAAGGAAGAGTGGAAGATCTTCATTAAAGAATAACAGCGATACAGTTGCTGCTTCTGGTGCTGAGCTGGCTCATGTCTTGGCTGAGCTCTTTGGAGCCTTTGGTGTGGAAAGCATGCCTCAGTCAATAAACCATGCTGGTCCTGGGCTGAGCAGTGTGAAAACTCCCAGTGGGTGCATAGAGAACATGGATATCTGTCATCCAGGGGACTCAGCATGGAAAGTGCAGAACCTCCAGGAGTGGCTGTGAAAATGAAAGATGGTGCTCATTTGATTTTGCAGACAAAATTGAAAACCTTGGGCAGCTGCAGACATGACACTAGTCCTCCATGGTTATCACTGCTTTACCACTTCTGCTTGGCTGCAAAGAGTGGAAGGGTGGAAAACGATACTAATTCCTCATTTGGAAACACATTACAGGACAGATGAGTCCTCTTTCCGTACTTCTTCAAGAGACAGCCTTTTTCAAAACATTCCTGTCATTGTTGCACTCTGCATACTCTTATGTGTATCACTGAGCTGTTTGTTTAGCAGCAGAAAACATTGATGTTTTGATGTAGCAAAACCATGTTGTGTTCATTTCTTTTGTTCTTTCATTACTTTACAGGTACGGTAAGAATTGAAATGTTCAGGAACATGCAAAATGCAGAAATCATAAGGAAAATGACAGAAGAATTTGATGAGGTAGAGTATACAAATAGTTGTTTGAAGCATTATGAAATATGTTACCATATACTTCTGGTTTAAATTAAAAATGCAGTGGGCCAGTGGATAAATAATGTCTCAGTGTGGGAAACTTTTGCTGACAAGCAAAGCAGCAACTTCAGCTGTTGGATGCAGAGAAGCAGGGCAGAGAGAGGTTCATCAGAGCAGGCAGGAAGAGGAACTGGAGAACCCTCATCCCACTGAGAGTGGTGGTGGCATTCTGGGTGCTGAACTTCAGCTCTTGGGAGTGCCTCTTACAACAAAGAGCTCCAGATTCCTGACACCTCAGATTCTTGAGGCAGGATTACAGCATTCTGCTCTGTTTTCTCTGTGCAAATTAATGTTTTGTGCATTTTAAATGGCAGTTTAAACAAAATAGAAACTTGACATGAAAATTACCATTTTGGAACAGCGATACAGAAAGAAATACTCTTTCAAAAGATCTGAGCATTTTGTTTGAAATAAGTAAATTACAATTCAGACTGGGTATCTTCTGTCAAAATAAAAGTGTTCCTAATGGTGAATGCTTTTTAGCTTTGAGATTTTTGAACTGTGTTTTCTTTCATTTTTGGTGTATAAACCACTGAATATTCTGAGCGTTCATTTTGTTTAGTGAGGAAAACTAAAGCTGGAGCAGGTACTTCTGTAGGACAGCAGTGCCTCTGACCAGTTCTAAATGAAATGCCAAGGCTGTCATTCAGAAAGTTAGGCATCCACTTAGTATTAACCTTAAGTGGATGGAGAATGACATAAACAGTCGATCACGCAAACCTTTTTTCAGGTTTTGACTTTAAGTACTTGGAAATATTCCTGCCTCATCCTTTGCTCCCACTTCCTAACCAAGGATACAAGGAAGAGAATTGAGTCTCGATACTTCTTTTGGACTATACAGAGCCAATACTGCAAGTAGAAAACAATTACAATGGTGTCTTTGCAAAAGTGGTTTCATGCCAATAAGCCTCCCTGTGTATTGAAGAATAATGTGTTGTTTTTATTTGTTATTTTCCCTTGGCTTGAAGGAACAGGATGATGTTTATTTTAGAACCACAGACCACAATGGGTACACCAACATTAAAATAAATTAAACGGGGACACTTTTAACACTTGATCTTTTCCTTCTGTTGTTCTGCAGGACAGTGGTGATTATCCCCTGACCATGCCCGGGCCTCAGTGGAAGAAGTTCCGCTCCAACTTCTGCGAGTTCATCGGGGTGCTGATCCGGCAGTGCCAGTACAGCATCATCTACGACGAGTACATGATGGACACGGTGATCTCGCTGCTCACCGGCCTCTCCGACTCGCAGGTCCGCGCCTTCCGGCACACCAGCACGCTGGCTGGTGAGTGAGCTGAGCTGCCCTTGCAGGAGTAATTGTCATTTGGAACCCTGACCAACGTTAGAACTCTGGGAAGCTTTATCGAATCCATGTACCACATGTGCTACAACTAGAATTAAAATATTCCTTTTTATTTGGAAAGTGCTGAGGCACGTAGAGATTCCTGTCATCCCAGTGAATCCTGACAATCAGGAGTGGCATGCTTATGTCTTGTGTTTTGTTATTAATTGTTCATTTGTTGTACAGAATGTTGGAGTAATTATGTATTTTAGAGTATAAATTTATTCTAAAGACGTATCAGGACAGTTATATTATCAAAGAGTTTCCATTCACCAGAAAAGCTAATCTGTGCCTTAACTCTGGAGAAGCATAAGGTTTGGGATTACTGGGCCATGGTTGTAGGGCTCCCTGTCTTCTGCCTGCAGCCACACCACCTTACAGTGCAACTGCTTCACCTAAGGAAAGCCCTGGCTGTATCATTAGATAGAAATGGGCTTTCCTTGTGTATTTCATCACACCTATATGAGATGTCTCCTCTAAGAGGGATGAATTGCTCTCCACAAGGAACTATTTTTCTCAATTACAAAGCACTACCGGAGTGGCTGGCTTGGGTGTAGGTGTCTACAGCTGGTCATGTCAGGTGATAAGAAATCCGTCTTATTGCAAGCTTCATAGATCATACCAGATATTTGAAGCTCTTACAGCAGACATTTGTCATAATCTGAATGTTTCTATGGCCAGTATTTATTACTATTTAGTCTTTCCACAGTCAGCCTCATACACATTTTTTCAGTTTCAAGTGCACCAATACCCAGTGTTAAACAAATACAATCAGAATTTGTTTAAAATTTCATCTCTCATTATGAATCAAAGAAAGAGGCAGATTTCCAATGATATTGAAAAAACAACTCCAGATTTGAGTGGATTTTGATTTTAAAACTGAAGCCCAAACCCTTCAACTCACAATGACTGAACTCTTTTGGAAACACCTTGTGTTCCCTTGTGTTCTTCACCACACTTAGCAATGGGATGGTAAAACTGTGAATTATGCAGGCTTAAGCTTCCAGGTTTGGAGTTTCCTCTTCAAATTCAGTGTTCCAAGGTGAGCACTGTTTGAGCCTAGATAACCTGCTGGACATCCATGCCTGTTATTTAAACTATTCCCTTCCATCTGATGCTGTCTGCAGTACTGGGTGGTTTTGGTTTGCTGTTTCCTCAGGCTGAGGTTGATTGGTTCATAGGGAAGGGTTTATGGAGTGAGGTTTGCACTCTGGTCCCTGGGAGTGATTGGTCTGTTCCTGCATGGGGTGGATTTTTGGAAAGTATGAGGAGCTTGATTAAAGGAAACAGAAGCACTTAGAACAGTTATTTCCCAAGACCTGTGCTCTGTAGAATAAAGTTTCCACTGTTTGGAATGGATTCTGTAGCTAGAAGCTTGCAGCAAGAATAAGCTGATGCTAAAGCTGAGGTTCATCATGACTGACTGCAGTTATTTCAGCCACTTCTTGCATTAATGACACATTTATCTAACATTGCATCACAGATGGGAGCTGCCAAGAATCTCAGCATTTACCAATGACAGTACATGCCATTTATTTATTTATTTGCTTGTTGTAACCAGATTGAGGCTTTACTTTGATTCCACACATTTTCTTCAAGCTGTTTTCAACATTTAATTGTGTTGCAGTCCCAAGGAACAGAGGTCAACATGATGCCATGGAGCTCAGTCTTGATAAAATTTTTGAAAAGCTACTTGTAGACTGGCATTTCTTCTTGAAGGAGTATTTGTAGGTCCTTGTTTTCAGTTTTCCTCCATGCTGGTTAGTTGGAATGAGAGATGATTCACTGTAGGAAGAAGTACCTGTAGGTTACCAGTTTTAACCTGTGGCAGTGCAAATCAATCCAAGTTGCCTCACTTCTCCGTTTGTGTGGTTGCTTTTCTACCTGGAAGCAATGCTGCATATTCAGAGGAGCATGCAGAGAGGATGTGATAATTTGTTGCATTATTTTGCTGTTCTTTCAACATTGTAAAATGTGTTGTACTATGCAACCACACAGAACTTGGGGAAGACCCTTATTAATGTTTTTTTTGTAAAAAGAAATTTTAGTACCAAAAAGCAGACACAAACAGCGTGTGTGAAAATAAAAATTGCATTTTGATATGGCTGTACAGCTAACTTTAGAGCTGTGTCAGACCTGCATTCAGAGAAGCTGTGCTGTGGTCCCTTGTGAACTGAGCCAACCTCAGCAGCCATTGGTTAAGGTCACCCTTAGTATGGAGCCATCTCTGCTGGCCCTCTCCTGTGCAGAAATGGCTGTAACTCCCCAGCAGCTGCCTTCATGGTGCCCTGATGCTGCAGGCTCACATGCTGGCTCCCTGGTGCCCTCAGAGTTTGTCTGGAGCAGACAGCAGGGAGCACTGCCTGCAGCTGAGTGTGGGGCACAGACTCTGCTTTCTGACCATGGGCCACTTCCACCTGGGTGGAAGTGCCTATCCAGGGCCAGGGTTGAGAGGCTTTTTGCTGTGAGTATGGATCTGCTGAGGAAATATTTTCTGAGCTCTGACTACAGGTAAAGAGTCATAATCTGTCTTGTGCCTTTGCAGCTATGAAGCTTATGACTGCTCTTGTGAATGTTGCCTTAAACCTGAGCATTCATCAGGACAATACACAGAGGCAGTATGAAGCTGAGAGAAACAAAATGATTGGCAAAAGAGCTAATGAAAGATTGGAGCTGCTGCTTCAGAAAAGAAAAGAGGCAAGTGAAAAGACAATTTTTTTTTTCCTGGTTCACGTGCATTCCCTCCAACAGAAAGCCCAGGGTGGTTTGTGACTCGAGTACCACAGTGAGAAAGAGCTTAGTTCTGCAGTGGTGTTTGTGTGATCTCAAGCAGACTACTTAAATCCTGTACTGCCACTTTCAGTTGAGTTTGTGGTGCTGTTCTGCATGCAAAGGAGAATTCTCTTCTCCAGCTTCTATGAATGACCAGGCAAGAAGAGTCTCAAACTGTAAGCAGTCACTGTCCTGGTGATGCAGAAAGATTCTGACAAGAGGATCACACATTCCCTCCCTGCACTGCCCAGTTTTCCCCTTGATCACTGCAGTTATTCCACAGTGTCTCATTGCTACTTCTTTTTTAGCTGCTTTCAGGAAACACTGTGGAGTTGAGGCTATAGCACCTGTTCTCAGGGAGAAGGAGCTAGGGAGACATTAAAGTCGCCTTTAGTAAGTACCAGCCTGGCATTAGGTGAGAAAAACCATTAGAAGGTTGCTATAATCATTCCTCAATAAAGTATTATATCACAGGAAACTTCAGTTTTAGAGATGTACTTAAATTTAAAGTTGACAAATAGAAAATTAATACACATACATCCAAACAAAGATAATGTGTAAAGATGCCAAGTAAAACTCATAAGAAAAATTGAAAATCAAAGTTTGTATTAGATATAAATTTATGATTTTTAATATAATAGTTTTGAATTTTCTCTACCACTGTTTTACTCTGTGGCAATTAAGACTGTCTCGGTACTTTGCTTGTGTGCACCTTGAATTCCTTTAGGTGTAACTTGGATGTGAATTGCTTGACTTTGTGGTTTTTGTCTGGGGATAATTACAATTACATATTTTTATTTTACCCCTATGACTTGTACAACTTTATTTGGTTTGCATAATTCTTGAAAAGCATGCATTAAAGTATAATGCAAGAACAATCTCTCCTGCCTAAACTGTGAGAGAAACAAATTAAATATTAAATTGCATGTGAGTTCTAAAGCATTTTGAAATGCAAAATAGCTGGAACAGAGTTTGTATTCCACATTTGTTGATTGTTGCTTTGAATTTGCAGAGAACAAGGGCACTAATTGCACTGATTACTTTGGGCTGGTGGCTCTGTGGCTGGGAACTCCTCTGTGCCCGTTCCCCCAGCTGCTCTGTCAGAGCTGCAGGACATTTTCTCTCTGGGGAGCTGTAGCAAGGATGCCTGGGCTGTACAGGGCTGGGGAGCCTTGGCAGGAGAAGGAACACTTCTTAGTCCTTACCTTTTGCTCTGTGTGTTCAGGGGCTCTCATCTCACTGCTCATGACAGCTGAGCAAAGCATTGCCTGGGAACAGCCAGATTGAGTATGTCCGTGGGGTTAAGCACACCAGGAGCACCTGGGCAGAGGAGATCTTTTAGGATTAGATGGCTTAATGCTCTTTGGAAGAATTCTTGACATAATACTGTATATTCCCACTGTTTAAATACTCTGTTTGACAGTGGCATTCTGTGCTGGCACTTCCTCAGTTGATTCTTTGATGAAGTGCCATCCTAACAACCCCTCCTGAGCTCATACACGTGCATGTATTGGTCCTCATGAGCTGACAGAGGGACAGTTCACCAACTGAGAGTGTCAAGTTAATCTGAAGCAGAGGAGAGGGAGCACTTCCTGAAGTGTTTGAATATCAGGCCATCATGTACAGGTGGGAGAGCCATGCATGGAGCTCTGTCTTATCAATGAGATTTTCAGCTCAAGTGGATTATTTATGTAGCAATATGCCGCAAAGCAGAGAAAGTTGTCTTTTTAATATCTGCCAGTAGTAATTTAAATTTTGTGCTTGTTATACATGTCTTTTTGAGCTTCCACACCTGCTTGCAGAGTCAACAACAGAATGTTTCCCTCATTTTTTACCTCTGTTTAAGAGGGGGAATGTTAAATCATTTTTGCATTGGTAAGAGCAGGAATCCCAAGACACAGATGTTCCTTCAAGATACTTGAAGTTCAGCACTCAGATTCAAGTGCATGATTTAAAAAACTTGAAAGTATAGACAGCAGTTAGAGTTTCAGATAAAATTCATTACTGAATCTAAAATACATTTGAGAATTATATCCTTTAAATGTTACTACACAGAGGTAAAAGCAGTCTCACATGGACCTACTGAATCTCTGATTCTGCTTCCACACCAGCTGTGCCCCAGCACCTGGATACCTGTACCAGATGATAATTCACCATGTTTATAGTGAACTGTAAATTCTGTGCAGAAGAAGAGGGAGGAAGCCATCTGTGCTGTCCCTTCATTTGTGCTGCTCGGGCTTCTACCGTGCTGCTTCACTTTCCACTCCCAGAGATGTCAAGGGACACTTTTTTCAGAGTCTCAACTTTCTCATGGCTCAGAAAGTCCATCCTCTCCTACCTGTCTTCTGTGGTATGGTTTTATACCAAGAAATCATTCCCTGAGTTCTCTGTGAGCTCTGGTAGCTTTTCAGAAAGCCTCCTGAGGCTTCTTGGTTCATTCCCATCCTCATTTTACTGCACAGCCTGTGCTAGGCTGTCTCTACCTCCATGTTGCTGTGGAGGTTTCCCTGCCTGTAGCCTGTGGAGCCATCCAGCTAAGGGGTGATTAGGAACTCACAGTCCCCTTTGGATTATGAATTCTCAAACAAGCATTTAGTCTGTGCAAATTTGGGTTGAGCTGATGCTGCAAACAGTGCTTTTCCCAGAGGCCATGTCTGAATATGCTTGGTTCATGTTTGCAGAGCTGGTGTGGACCCAGCTCTTCCCTTGGTACATAATCCCTTTTACTGTAAAATTAGTTTCTTTGGCAGCTTTTTGACAATTTAGTCAAGAGCCCTCAATGCCTTGGTTTCTCCACATGCAAAATGGAGACAGCACCTCCTTGCACTTCACTGAACTGGGAGGCTTCACTCCCTGAGTTCTGAAGCTACTTCAGCTCATACCTGGAAGATGCAGTGGAAATATTTGGCTGAAAAATAGAAGCCCACAGGGGGAAGTGTTTCAGAGCTCGTGCCATTCAGGAGGTCAAACCAGCTGATCACAATTTTGCCTCTGGCTTTGAAACCTTTTATCTGTTGAATATATACATCCACAATTATACTGGCTTAATTATTTTATGCATATGTGCACTCCACCAGCAAGGCTCTGTTGTGGTTTTGCTGCTGTGAGAGTGTGGACAAATTTACATTCCCACATTGTGTTACTGTCCTTGGACTGTAATGAACACCTTGATGGAAGAATGATGGCTGCTCCAAATTGGATTGGATAAAATTGGTGTCATCTTATTAACAAAGCTGCATTTAGGTGTAATTAAGTTATACTTAGTTTAGTACAAGATCTGACAGTATGAGAGTACTGTAATTAATTCCAAGTTGTGTTAACATATTAATTGACACAAGGTAAGCTTCCCATAGTACTTGCAAAATGTGCTCATGTTACTCAGAAAGTGAAAAGATTTTTAAGAAAATGCTCTTATTTATAAAAGCATGCTCATAGCACCTTTTCATTTGGAATTGGGTTTGGTTTCTTGCAGGCTAAGGCCTGGATGTCAGGTGTGCTCTGGTCATGGAAATCTTCCTGCTTCTGAAACCCAGTTAGTGTGGGTGCTGAAGTTCAAGCAACTGACAGTCTTTTACTTAAGTTTGAGAATGACTTCAACTCCTTCCCTTAAATAGAACATTAATTGTTTCAAAACTAATCTGTAACCAGCTTTGTTTCTGCAGCTGTCATTCATTCAGCTCTGTGTTTCCCTGTGAACACAGCACTGCTGAAATTACTGCACACATTGTCTCTGCTTGTCTCATTTTCAGTAGCAAAAGTTTATGATCACTTCAAAGAACTAATTTGAGAGACTAAATTGATGTTTGTAGTGAATGTTAATTTTCTTCCATTAAGATATTGCATATATAATGTAAATATTTGTATGTATATGCACACAATATAGGCATGTGCTGGAAAAGCAGAAGTGGTGAATTTACTCAAGTGCTCTTCCAAGGTCTTCTAAGGTTTCCCAATAGGGAAGTGTAGAATACCAAATTATAATAAACAATGATCTTTTATTTATTTTGTGTTTTGTTTTTCACAGCTACAAGAAAACCAAGATGAAATCGAAAATATGATGAACTCTATTTTTAAGGGTATATTTGTTCATAGATACCGGTAAGAAAATGCATGTTCCAGTAGGCTCTTCTAATAAAGTGTGGTCATAAGGAAAGTCAGGGGCAGTTCCTGGGTTAATTTTCCTCTGATATAATATTCTAGATGCTGCAGGATCACTGTCAAAACACTTGAAGTTAGGGAAGAATATGCAAATTGTAACCTCTATTAATTACTCAGTACAGCCCTCCACACAACTTTCTTTTAATTCAGTAGACAGCTTTAAAGGTTGTGGGAGACATGGGCTTTGAATCTTTGTGTTTTGAAAAGAAAAGTTGTCCGTGTTTGGGAGCACAGAAATGACTTATCTTAAAAATAATAAAATAATTACTGTGAATCATAGGATAGCAGTTGTCCTCCAACCTGCATTTCCTTTTGTATGTCTTGGGTGTAAACTGCAAATTTGGAATGTGGTTTATCAGAGAACAGTAGTCTTGTAAAATAGATTTAGGATTGTTGTGTGTCACAAGATGTCTCAGAGCATCTGCATCACCTTGGTGCATCCAGCTCTTTAAATGTTAATTGACTTGCTGAAATCAAAAGATAAAATTCCAGGGTACCAAACTATGCAATTAACTTTTCACATTTCAGTTCTGCTTTAAAAGTTTATAATTTATGGAATCCTCTAGGAAAATGGCAGGATAAAAGGGTGTATGAGAAGAGGGTTGGAAGGTGAAGAGGAACCCATAGTTCAGTTGGACAGAGGGATGATTGTAATTTGGAGAAAATCACACAGGAAACTGGGAAGGTGCTCCTGCTGACAAATGTGCGAGTGTGAGCAGCACAGTGGGGTTGGAGAGTGTCTCCTCAATACCTGAGCATGGAAAGAAAGTTCATGGTTTATGGTCAGGAAGCCTTGAGCTGCTTGGCAGCAGGAGGATGGGTTTGCAGAGCCAGCAGGTACATGAGTGTGCTAGATCAGTGTAGCACTCACACCATTTTGTAAGGAGAGCAGCTTTCATGGCATAAGTAAAACAGCTGAAGAAATTAAATTCTAAGAGTGTTTGCATTTTTATCCCTTCAGAACTTAGTGTATTATATCAAACAAAACATTGCCTTAAAATATCCTCTCAGTAGTTCATGCTCTTGTGTGAGATTGGAAAAAGACTCAGCCTTTTGGTGGTCTGCATTGTGGTACTTTTGCTTTTTCTTTTGAAATACTCCTTTTGTAAAAAAGTTTCTTTTTGTGCCTTCTGCCACCACTAGTAAAGACCTGATATTGCTGATGTTACTGTAAAAAAGGAGAGGCCAAATCAATAAACTCCATCCATGGACTGGAAAAAGGTGCCCATGGTGGCCCTGTTAGACCCGTGGGGAATTGACTGAAATCAGACAGGTGGTGGCACCATTTGTGCCACTGGTCAGAGGGGTCAGGAGGAGTGTGTTCCCACCCTGAGCCACCTGTGTGAGCACAAGCTGTCCCTGACCTTTTGGGGAGCCACAACATTCACCAAACTGTGAGTAATGATACACAGCAGAGGGCACAGAGTGACACTCTTGCACTCACAGCTGGATGAGAAAAAGAGAGGGAAAAGGTCTGTGTGAAACCCAGCTAACTGACAGCAAAGCCCTGGGGGGATAAAATGTAAAGGATTGTGAACTATTATCTGCTCTCATAACTTCTTAACTTCTTGAACCTTCCTTCTCTCAAATAGTTCAAATTATTTATAAACTTCCCATGATTTTACAGGCTTTACACCATGCAAGTGATGATGATTTTGAAAGAATGTTATTTTAATTATTCCCAGAGAATAAGTTCCATCCTTCAATATGATTCAGACTCAGCCACAGTGATTCATGCTTAGTGACCTTTGTAGCTTAAATAACAAGTCCTTGACCAAAGCAAAGCTCCCAAAACTGTTTCATTCAGGATGTGTCTTCTGACAAGTGTTGCAGTGAGATTACATCTTCTTTCTATAGATTGGCTTCCAATTTATTGGAAGATTTCAGTCCTTACTTCTTTTATCAAGATTAAAAAAAAAAAAAAAAAAAGATTTGCAGGAATAGCTTAATAGTTTTCTAGGTATAATGCTAGTCTAGTGTGAACAACAGATTTGGTCAAAGCTGACAACCACTCCAGCAACCCTGAGGAGCACACTGCTCTACACCTGATATTTCCCAAATATCCCATCAGAGACTCTGTGCCTCCAGTTCTGAATACTGCTGGCCTTAATCACAGTTCTTGTGTGTGCTTTGGCATGAAAGGCACACTGAAGTGGCACTTGGATGGAGTGGCACTGGTAAAATCTCTTTCCTGACGCTGTTGTGGTTTATCCTAAGGTTTATGGGCCTGCCTTGTCAAGCCAAAATTTTAAAAGGAAATGCAGAATTTCTTACCTGGACCCCTTTTGTCAAATCCTTTCAGAAGCTGCATCATGGAGGATCTCTTTGCCCAGAGTAGGAACTTAGGCTGTGAATTGTGCTGTGAATATTTTCACCTTGTAGACCTTTCTTTGCATTTTGTGCTGAAAAGAGGGTTAAATATATTTCATGTATAAGATCTGTAGATGCCACATCAGTTTTCATTTCTGTACTGGACCATAGTCTCTTTCTTTCTAGAAGCATTTGGCAAGTAATACAAGCTTACATCACTAATTTATAATTATGATAATTAATAATGCATTAATTATTCCAAAATCACTTCCAGTACAGGTATAATTAGTATTTGTTCTTGTGTCATCCAGAAATAATGGGTATTTTCAAAAAGCTAAACAATTCATAGTGACCAGAAGCTAAAATGTATTTAACTGTATAAAAATTAGAAGAAAATAATTATAGTTTAATGACAAGCAGTTACCACATTAAGAGCAAAGGTTCAAAGATTTTTTTGGCTCTATTGTGTTTGATACAGCATTGTATGGGCATGGAGTCTGTGTTAATGATTCCTGCAGGAACACAGGCGTGATTCTGATCAGTGATATTTGCCTGGAAGGTGATGTGGAGTGGGAAGTGGTGTCTCACAAGTTCCCCTGCTTCTCTGGCAGCTGGAGTCTGTTTGCTGGTCTCACATCCTTGATTCTGCCTCATTTTCAATTATACTGAAGACGTTACATTCTTATTGTATTAAGTCTCCTATTAAGTTGAATAGCTTTCTTCTTTTTTTTTTTTTTTTTTTTTTTAATTAGCAGCTTGGAGTGAGTGTCTGTAGTGCTGAGGGATCACTGAGAAGGCTTTTGAATGAAGAAGCAGTTTTTCACTGTCTGCCTAGGGAAGCTTGAAAACTTCTTAGAAAAAACATGATTCTTCCTGCTTTTTGGCTGGCTGTGCTGCATGATTAAATAGTTGTTGACATTTAGGTTCTTTTTGGGATTGCCATTAAATCCTTCCAAAATCCTTTACAGTTAGTAAATTTATAAGGTGGTGAAATAACTTACTTGGATGTGAGTACTCAGGCTGTCATCCCCTAGTAAGAATGTTTTCCTCACTACTTGGTGTTGCTGCAGACTCCCCATTTTTCTTGATTTATGTTTGCTAGTCTTTTAGGTTTTTCTGTAAGTCTTGCATACATCCACCTATACTTTGCTTTTAAAATAGTTTGCAAGTAACTTCATCGAAGAGAATTGCTAATCTAATTAAGCACTCACAGACACAGATATATGTGTGTTTCTGTGACTACAGTCATAGTTTAAACTAAAACTTGTCTTCATTATGACTGCCTTTCCCATAAGGAATGCAGTTTTTAACCCTTGAGTGTGATATTTAGCACGTTGGTCCTTACACTACTTAAACCTGTTTGAGAAATCCCTGGTTAGGACAACTTGTCTGATGTCCTGCCCTGCTCCTAATGCAGCTTGTCTCCATTGTGGATTGTCCCTTACCTTGGTTCTGAGGTTACAGAGGCTTCAGGAAGCTGGACAGACCAGGTTTACTGATGCTGTTGGGAAGTTGTTAAAATTAATATTTCTCATAGGCAGAGCGACAATGGCAGAGGTTTGGTGGTATTCACACAGGTGTCCCCCCCCTCCCCAGGCTATTGCATTAAATGCATTACATGGTGTTTATGCTTTCCTGCTGTTGCAGCAGTAGAGTTTCCTCCCTACAAGTTGAGTTCAAGCACTGAGACCTGCCTGGAGAAGTCCCCCTGGCCATGTGTGATGCTGGGATTGGTTCATGGTCCCTGTGGGACCCAGGGATCCAGCTCAGGGTCTGCAAAGTCAGGGGCAGGGCAAAGGCACTGGATCAGCTGGGGCAGCCTGCAGGAGGGCAGTACATACTTCCAGTGTGGAGTCACCAGGGGCTTGCTGCACTGGGTTAGGGCTATGAACCTGTGCAGTGTCTTGACCAGAAGAGTGAGTGCATTTTCCTTAGATTTTGTAAAATCAATTCCTTTCAGAACAATGCAGTTTTTAATTTTTGCAGTTATTCTCTTGCTTGAAGCTTGGAATTTTTCTTTCCTTCCCATAAATTAAATTTCATTCTGGGGCTCTGTTGGTCTGGTTTAGAATTAAATTGATGTTTATTACTTTTCCAAGAAGATTTTTTTTTCATAAAAATACAAAACAAGAGTCTCAATTAGAAGCAAGTTCCAGTGTTTGCAAAGCACCAGATATTCCCTTCTTCTGTTCAGTGACTCTTTGTGTTCTTCTTGTATACAGCTGAAATTTAGAACTGTGAGGCACTGCCAGCTGGAGTGGCACAAGTGATTTCTCATGGTAACAGATGTCCCTGAGATGGATTTACTGAAGGGACAGATGGCCCCCATCCCTTTTCCCGTTGTTTCATTATTAGTAAAGATGCCATGCTCCATGTCAGGCAGGCAGGAAAATGCCAATCAGATGGAAAGCACTTCCATCCTGGTCTCCTTAGGTGACCTCTCCAGTTTCCTGCCACCCCTCCTCACTAAGCAGCTGATAGGTCTGCCTGAGATATGTCTTTGCTTCTTCCATGACTTGCCAGTCAGAATGTAGGATAAAAGCAAGAAAATGGGAAGAAACCAATGCTGAAGTGCAAAATTCTCATGGGTTTTGTTGTAGGGGTACGAAATGAGATCTCTTTGTGTAGCAAACTCCATTGAGCTCCTCTGGCAGGTGCCTTTGGCTAAACCAAATAGCCTCTCCCACCTTGCAATGGCTCTGCACCTTGAGCTGGAGACAGGGCTGCAAAGCAAATGTCAGTGATGCTGTTTCAGAAATGATTGCCCAGAGGAGGTTTGTAGCTTGGGTTCATAATTCTCTTTGAAAAGAGAGAGGTTAAAGATGGAGTAATAGACTAAGAAGCAAACTAGGGTGAGAATTTCTTTATGTAGAGGAAATGTAGGAGCATATATAAACACTGAAATTGTTAGATCAGTGAGTTCAAGGATGTACAGGAACAGAAAATTAGTGAGATGGCAGTAAGAACAGTGACAGGCCCCACATAGTGAGGTTCATGACCAGTAAAAGCAAATGTTATAACTATGGCAATGGGAATGAGAAGAATATTTGTCTGTAATCTGGCTAATCCTTGTTCTTTTCTTTTTCTTATTAGTGATGCTATTGCTGAGATTAGAGCTGTCTGTATTGAAGAAATTGGTGTCTGGATGAAAATGTACAGTGATGCCTTCCTGAATGATAGTTATTTAAAATATGTTGGTTGGACACTACATGACAGGGTGAGTATTGTGTATTCCCACACACAGCAGAGTGCAGGAGGCAGCTGCTGCTGTGCTGCCCAGCATCCTTGGTTTACAAAGAGATTTTTCTGTTTCTTCACCTGGTGTCTTCAACCAGGTCACTTCCAGGTATTGGCTTCAATTAGGAGGCAGTACTCCCAGTCTGCTTGGTCCTTCTGCTTTTCATGTGGTCAGTCTCTGATGAAGTATCTTGACAGAAATCCTGCCATGGGGCTTTTCTGTTGATTACAAGAGAAAGAGAAGTCTCCTCAGAGCATCCCTGAGAGCCTCTGTGTCTGAAGCAGAATGGAAAAGGGATTTCCATGTGTCTTCCATTTACATTGCCCAAGGGTTACAGGAAAAAAGGAGATCTCTGGGTCCTCAATAGACACCACTGGCTCCACAACCAGTGGAGTGCTCATCAGTTCACTTTCCCTTCCTTGAAGAATCTTTTCAAGGTTCTCTTTAGCTTTTTCTTCAGAAAATTGTTGAAACACCAGATGGAAGGAAAAAAGGTGCTTTTCTGACTCAGCACAGTTCCTAGTACTGATGATATCCACCATGTTCCTGCAGCCAGAGGATCCCATTGTGGGTGCTGACAGAAGACTTTGCACTTCTGCCTGGGGGCTTTTGTGCACCAGCACTGCCTGTGCTCCCACTCTCACCAAAACCACTGGAATCACTTGTTTTACTCTAAATTCCCTTACTTAAACTATCCAAGGAATACAAAGGAGACTTACAGTACTGTTGAAATGCTCACAAAGTTCCAGCATCCTGATTCCGTCTATTCTCCTATTTCAGACTATCTCCTATTCAGACTATTTCCCAGCACTGGTGGGAGAAGATTGGCAGTCTGCAAGTTCATTTGGATGATTTGAATAACTGATAGTTAACAGCTGATTCTTGAAAAATATTACTTTTTTCAATAACTTCAAACATCATCTTAATATTTAGGATCTGACTTGGTCACTGTTGTGCTGAATTCTGAGCAACATGAGTTATGCAGATGTTGGCTTTCACTAACAACAGCAGTCAGCTGCTGCTGCTGGTTCTTTTAACTACAGCTGCCAGGAATCTGCATCTTGCCTTCATTTGGATGAGCAGTTCACTTGTTAAGAGTATCCTCTAAACATGAAATTTCTTTCCAAACCTGTAGTTCTCAAACTTTCCCTTTGCAAATTTTCCCCAGACTTTTACAGTAGTTCTCATTGAGCAAAACTTGGTCAGGAGGAAGATCCTGCTTACTGCTCCTATGAGCCATGACCAGTGTCTGCCCCAGAGCCACTGCTCTGTGTCTCAGTGAATGCTGGACATGGAAACACAGCCATGGCAGGGCCTGGAGGGACAGAGCTGCTGCTCTCTGTCCCTTGTTGGTGACATTGCTGTGCCTCACAAGTTGCTGTGCTCCAGAAGACATCATTGTTCAAGTTAGCAAACCAGTGGGGAGGTCAGCTCAGTTTGGAGGATCAGGATTTAAGGTGTGTGGAGGGCTTTGTTTTACTAGGACTTGTAATTGAAATAAATTATTCCTTGAATAATTGCAGTGGATTTTTGGGAGTACATTCTAAACCTTGTAGACCATTTCCACAAAGTAGCACTTCCAGAATGTAGTGGGGCTGCACTTCACAGCTCTCAGCCCCCTCCTAGTGTCTTTGAAGTCCATCCATTTCTCACATCACTCCCTTTACCCATCTGTGGAATCTCACACTCTCATCTGTCACATCCAGCAATTTCTCATGTCATGTGCAGTATTTTCTCACACCCTCTTCTGTTAGTTTAAGCTCAGGCCAGGGTCTAGCCATCTGACTGCAGCCTTAACACATATTTATACCTCAGCTTTTTAAAAATCAATGTGTTCTTTCATAGCAGAGAAATTTTGAATTACAGTGTTAGGATAAAAAACTGGACCATTTGGACCAGTCACAGCAGAATTCTATCAGACTGCTCTTCCTCTGCTTTGTAAGATATTTTGTTGCAGGCCACAGAAGTGCCCTGGGGTTCTAAGTCTTTAAATCACTCATGTGTTTAATGTCCCAGTCCACCTGATAGGTGGTGAGGTTTTATTGATGTTGTGGATGTGTCATCTGCAGAGTGAGACAGACTGTAGGCAGAATGGGGAAGAGTCTGGGGCAGGTGTCAAATAATGAAAAGGGAGGGAATGGAGAGAGACGTTTTGGGAGGCACAGAAAGGAGAGTGGAGGTGCAATGGGAAGAAATTGGAAAAAGATAGAGTAAGAGCCAACTGAAAATGCAAAGCTTTCAGAAGCACAAGATCCCTTAACAGCATGGTTTTCATTGGTACTGCCTGAAAAAACTGCCAGCTGCTTCTTCTTCTACCCAAGTTTCTTGATTTTGCTTTGCTTTGATCAGGAGATAATTTTTGCTATAATTGGTATTTAAAAAATGAAGACTGAGGCAATAGCCATAAGCTATTTCCACTTCACATGAACAGCAGTCACCCCAAAATTATTAACTTCTCTGGAAGTTTGCTGCTGCAAAAAGGAGACAGCAGTGCAGGAGATTGCTGAGGAATTTCATATTCTACTTCAGAAGACATACGAATTAAAGCACAGGGAAGAACAGTTCTTACACTTCTCTGTAGTAGCTCCAACATAGTCTTTCAGAGCTGGAATATAGAAGTTTATTTCTCTAACTTGGAAAATCCTTATATTTTGTATGTTTATCATGTCTCTCAGATTTCAAACAAATGTCTGTAGTGATTTTTGGTTTTTATAGATTTTCATTTGAATGTGGCTTTCAAGTTTTGCCATTCTCTGCTTTTAAGCATCTTTTTTATTCCTGTGTATCTGGGAGCATAAGTTAAAAGTGTACAAACTATGATATAATTGGGTGAAAAGCTCTCTTGAAAGTAAGAGTTTTAAGTTAGACTGTTCAGTCTTAATTTTCATACTTCATTGATGTGTGGAACTGTTTTGAAACCATAATTGTCTCTAGATACCTGGACAGTCATGGTTCTTAAAACCAGTTCCTAACACATAAGAAAATGCTTTTTCCTTCTTTGCATTCCTCTTACTTTGCTTATTGTCTGTTTCTGTGGAGAGGATGAACCCAGGGTCCTCTGGAACAGATGTTGCTCTTGTGCTTGACCTCCTAATTAATTAATGAATGAATTAGTTAAGTTCATCTCTTAGTTTACTAAGTCTCTTGCTGACCTTCCTGTACATCCTGTTTGCAGCTTTTACACTGGTATAAGTTTCTAAAGAATCAACCTAACAAGCATTCCCACCCAATTAGTTCCTTGCTAGAAGGTGTTTGGGGTGTTCAAAGCTCCTGTGAGCTGGATGAGTCTCACACTTACGAAGAACCATCTCATGTATGGTGTGTTGAGGGTCTGTGGCACATTGCTGCTCCTTCACTCTGTAGTGTCTTCACTTTATAAAAGTAAATTGACACTGCAGTGAACTCCACAGAGTATATTTGAGTAGATTTGTGTTTATAACCTTTTTGCTAGCCAACCTTTTTGCCTGCATCACCCACTTCGAAATCCTGCATCCTTATTTTGGATTTACTTGCTGCATTCTTTATCTTTTTGTGGAGTCACTTGAAAGGGAAGCACTAACAGATGTATAAGTGATGGCACATTAATTCTTTCTGTTTGCAAATAGGAAGAAATTCAGCATTGTAGGTGACTGCATGTGGGTTTTGGTTTTCAGCTAAATTGCAAATTGGCTTTGGTCATTTGCATAACATTTTAAATGTACATTAAACAAATTACAGTATTATGTTTTTTAATATTCATGTGCATTTGGTTAAAGTATTCTGCCAGCTAATCTCAGTGTTTTTTATTTAGCAAGGTGAAGTGAGGTTGAAGTGTTTGAAAGCTCTTCAGAGTCTGTATACCAACAGAGAGTTGTTTCCCAAATTGGAGCTGTTCACAAACAGATTCAAGGTAAGAGGAAATACAGTTTTTGGAAGGAGGACAGAAGGTAAAAGTGTCATCATCCTATTGTGGTCTTTGAGTCACATCTATTAAGAATAAACTCATTAGTTTGGGACATGGCTTGTAACTGCACCACTAAAACTGTTACTGAATGCTGAAATTAAGCCAAAGCCATTTCACAGAGTTTATCTTGGAAGATTTGTCAGACTTAACCAGGATGATTATTTGTCTGTATGTATTATTTATAGGTTATATATTGTTCTTATTCAGTCTGCCTGTACTTATTTAATTTTAGATTTATTGATTTTAAAGGATGTATACTAACACAATCTAAAATATAGGTGAAAGTAGCAGCCTATAATGAAAGATTGTTTGTTACACAGCTTTTTTAGCTCAATATGTGCTTGTGTTTGGAGGGAGAGTCACTTGCATGTGCATCACAGTCCTTTACACAGTGAGCTGGCCTTGCTGCAGAAGAGGAGCTCACATTGTGTTTCCAAACCCCTTGAGCCAGATTGGGCCTTCAGGAGAGGAGTGCTGGGGGGATATTTCATGGGGTTTTTATTAGCACAAACTTTTTGTGTAATATCTGGATAAGAATGTGGCTGTTAATTCACTTTGTGGTCTGACTGCTTTATTGTACAAGTGAACTGTCTGGAGAGATGGGTGTGGAAACACTGTCCCTGCTCTTGTTTGGCTGCCGGCTGAGGAGAGTGTTCAGGCACTGCCACCATGTCAGCTGCTCCCTCTCCCCGTGGCTTTTGTGTTCTGCAGAACACACTACTGTGGGAAAGGCTACCCCCAAGGAAAAACTCATTTATCTCATTTAAATCTTTATTAGAATGCTGATGAAAAAAATTGTTTAGAAAAGAATCAGAGCTGACTGGTTTATTTTAACTTAAGTCATTATTATAATGCTGATAAAAAATTCTGTTTAGAAAAGTGGAGATTTAAATATTTATAAATACTGTGCACAAGACTTAAACTTCTCCCTGTAGATTCTCCCTGTATGAAAACAGTTTATAAAAACATGATAATCAGCCCTTTTCCACATTCACTTGAGATGCAGGAAAAAGATGCTTAATCTGCAATAAGCCTAGATATTAAGGAAAGCTTTTTTCCAAAATGATAATTACATAATAGAGCAGACTCTTTATTAATAGTATCCTTCTTTAAGATAACAGTCTTAAAGGGCAGATTAAATAAATGTCTCCCAGAAATGAACTAAGTATAGTTGACTAAAGTAGGAGATAAAACTCAATCATTTTAAGAGACCACCTAAGGACCTGCATTCTTCTAATTTTATAAAGCCAGTTTCTGGCACTGTTGCAGTAAAGACAAAATTTCCTGTAATAGGAGAGAATCTGGTAAACAGGTTCAGACCTCAACGTTATTCTCTAATGCCTCCATAAGTCTGCTTTGCTTTATCCTCACAGGGCAACCAGAAAAATGGACCCTCTAACTCTGATTTTCCTGTTCCATCTGTGCAGATTTAGACTTGTTTATATTTGCTGCTTCTGTAATTCCATTTATTTTTAAATTGATCACTAAAGCTCTCGTGGCCTTTTATCTGTTTCTCTTTAGTAGAAAATGTACTGGATCCTTCTTTGTCAGGTTCCCATAATTTGTAAAAGAAAAGACTGCTTTGAGGCTGAACTCTCCCATGCACCTGCAAAGCTTTCAGGACAATTTGAGACGCTTTGGGCAATAGTTACTCTGTAATGTACTCCAGAAAACTACAGGGACATGAAAGCTCTAAATACATCCTGCTTTTCACAGCACAGACAATTCTCTTAAAGGAAACTGCATTGCTGCTTGCCTTGGAATGGTACAGGGAATTTGCATTTCTGTCTAAGAGGTTCAAAGGGAAGGGAGCCTTGTTAGTAATTCTTCTTTCTTCTGTCCCATACAAGCTTATTTTACTACAGATATCTCTATCATTATGAAATAAAACAGAGGAGAAGATGCTCAAAGTCTCTGTGAGCCTAGAGAACAGATTTGTTTAACATAATGATTAATCACTTTCAGTTTCTGCCACATCAAGAGAACAAAAAGCTGGCATGGCCCAAATGCCTGCGCTTGGATTTACAGCTGTGCTGTCAGGGATGTGGCCTTTGGCACCAGGATGGAGCACAGTTCCAAAGTAATGCTTTTTGAATTTCTGATACATTAGCTAAATGTCTTGCCACCACAGACTCTACCACCACCTCTTTGAAAAATAATTGACCTAACTGCCATTTTCAGTTCCATGGCTGCTTATTTATATTTCTTCATCAGAATTTAATCAACCTGCACAGTTCAGCTGGTGTTCAGTTCAATCCATTCAAACTGAGAGAAATCTCTCTAGAGGTCTTCTAGCTGTTTAAAGAATAAATTAATTTGATCCAGAGTGCCTTGTGCTGGGCTGTTAATATTTCACCTCCTTCCAGAGAGCTGTGACAAGGATGTGATCCTTTCCCTTTTTCAAAGAAAAATGCCTGTTCTTTCCAGCATTTGTGTTTCTAAGGGTAGGTGATATGCTGGAAAATAAGCTTCATCCATCAAAACAAAAATTTGTCCATCAAAAAGAAGACTTTTGTTTTCCATCAAGAAGTCCTGTTTGACACAGACATTAACTGACCCCGTATGGAAAAGCTGTGAATTAACTCCCGTGCAGGCAGTGCCAGAGTCCCTCATCCCTCACCCTGTGCTGTCTCCACAGCCTGGGAGCACTAGGAGAGAGAGATTGGCTCCTCAGTCTGCCTTGTACACAGCCTAATATAGAATGGAAAATGATCTTCAGAGACATTCAGAATTGTATTTCAGCTTAAAACTCCAGGCCTGTGCCCTGTTCTGCTGCTGTACAATGGCACAGGGAATCTCTATAAAGGCAGATTGAGCAGCTGGGGGTTGGAACTTCCCCAGCCACTGAAGTTACACCCTCAGGGGCACTGGGGGTGTGGGTCTTGCTGGGAAGGCTCTTGGGGCCTGGCTGGCAGGTGCCACAACACTGAGGTGCTGGCCCCAGGGCAGAAAATGACACATCCCTGCTGTTTATTTTAAGCCTGATATTTTTGGGGAAAATTGAGAGAACAGTTTTTTAGGGTAAGGAAACCTTCTCACATTTGTTGTTTTGAAAGTCCCAAAGGACTCCAGATTCAGAGGGTACCTCCTGCTCTGTGGACAGGAGAGGGGATTCCCTCCCTGGGGTGTAAAATAAACTCTGAGAGAATACATTAAATTCTAGTGAGACATTTAAGATAAGGATCTATGGCTGTTCTTTCTCATGGTACTCTTATTGCTGTCCCTTGGCCAGGACCTTAGGAAAAGCTGACAGTAGTTTTTTTTTTCTTGTTCATAACAGAGTGTCCTGTGTGGAAAGTTGTTTCTTTGGGTCTCTTCATGGACTTCTCACAGTCTTTAAAAATGTTCAGATCTACATGAAATGTATCAAATTCTCCAGGAACTTAATAGTGATTGATAGAGGCCCCTTCAGTCACAGTGACAAGAAGTGTCTCTGCAGACCTGGGTTTGTTAGGAACTAACAACTGAGACAGCCACGATGCATTTTTTAAGTACTGATCTGAAATTTCTGTATTGAAATAAACAGTTTCTTGATGTTCCCCTTCAGCCCTTAAATGGAATAGTAGAGAAGAAAGGTGAAAACCTTTATTTTGCTCTGGTTTGCTCTGGTGGCTTGCACTGTTGTTGCCTTGCACTTCCCTTGTTTATTCTCCAGTCCCTGATTTCTATTTTTTCATATCCCAAAATGTCATGGAGTACATACTCCTTCCTGAAGCAGGTTAAGCCAGCAAAATCAAGTTTTGTTTTCAGATGGCCTGATTTCTCTTCAGTAACTTGCTCAGTCAAGCAAAGAGCACTGAGACATATTGCGTTTTTATGGCTGGATGGAAATTCTCCCCAGATAGGAAGGACAACATACACCAATCACAGCTATTTTTGCCAGTAATGAAATTGAACCTAAGGAGAGAGAAACCACTAAAAGACTTCTCATAACTGCAGGGTCCTTAGAAGTTAGAAAATCGTTAGATTTGACAGGAGAATGATGTGCTTGTCTCCACTAGAAGAAATATAGGAAAACACAAAATCAAACCATGGAATTCCCCACTTTCCTGGGGAAGCTCTGTAGTGTAATTCTTGAGCTCTGCTTAAAACCTTGAGATTTAGACAGGGAAAAGATCCCAACTTTACAGGCAACCTGCAGTTGCATGAATTCAGGTGTGATTTTTCTTCACAGTGTTTCTGTATATGCATCATTCCTTCCTCTGAAATTATTTGGTTGCAGGGGAATGAAGTGAGGCAGTTTTTCTGCTGTTGTCCAACCCAAGTATGTGACTTTGCAGGAAAGACCTGTTAAATTGATCCAACCCAGAACAGTGCTGCAGCTCCCAAGTCTCCTCCCTCCCTTTCTGGCAAACACCAAAGATAAGGACTGCTGAAGCGCTTGTTCCTCTTGTTATAGCACACAGCTAAGGGGTGCATTAAAAAGTTGGGTAATATTGAGGCGCTCTCATTGTTAGCATGACATCTTTCTCCCCAGAAGCAGTTTTTCTGTAACATCTGCTGGCCTTGTGCTGTCACTGACCTGGAGTTGCCTTGCAGGACCGCATCGTGTCCATGACGCTGGACAAGGAGTACGACGTCGCTGTGGAAGCCATTCGATTGGTCACGCTCATCCTCCAGTGAGTGCTGCCACCCAGCCCCTGCACTGCCTTGCAGAGTTCCCTACACCACTGCCATTCCAGTGGCTTGAGTGCTTTGCTTGGGTATTGAAGTGAATGTGCTACTTTACACTTAGTGTGGAGGTGAACTGAATATATGATATGGACATGAAGCTAAAGTTAGGTATTTCATTTCATGGAAATAAAGGAGGCAAAGTTTAAAAATGTGTGGATGTTTTGGCATGCACACATTAGTGCATCCATTATGTGGAAAATGCCAAAGGGCATTTTTGCCTTTGCCAAGGGCAGAACAACTGTCCTCCCAAAATGAGTGGCTGTGGGTTATGCTTGCTAGAGTAACTCCAGCAGTAACACAGATCCACTGTAGGGAGAGTTGAATGATTTCCTGACACAGCTGAAAAGAGTCACGTGGTAGGACACCTTTTTCCAGGCTTTTCCATGTGGGGATGCAATGGCTCCCCTGAGGTAAGGATCACCCCAGACATCCTCCCATATGCTGATGTGGAACCAGCCTGTCCCCAGCAGCCTCGTCAGGGGCACTGCTAGGCTTTTATAATATATTTATTAAAAGCTGTATTAAAGAACATCTGGTTTACAAGCAGATGCACAGAATTTTTGCCTCATATTTTATATCCGGTGGCTCCACTTTGAAGAATGTTTTTGGATGTGCAGATTTTGGACAAAAGACTGCCCTAGCCTTTCCTTAGTAAAGTCTAGACTTCAGCTTTTTATTTATGGGTCACTCTGCTTTAAAGAGATTAGCCTTGTAATATTAGGAAGACATGGAATCTTGCATCTACTGTTACATTTTTAAAGTAAATATAACAAATATGATCTGAAATGACATGTAGAGCACATGTCTTCCCTGCATTATTAGCAATTTTTGGGAACACAATAAGTTTTAAGGTCAAAAATTACCCAGTTGCACTTTTTTGTCTGTTCCTGCTTTCTTTTTGGTTGCTTTTGGTTGTCCATTGAAAGCACAGGCAATGCTAAATGCATTTAGCATGAGGAGAGTCTGGGTCACCTTGAAAAGCACAGGGCAATATTCTGGCAGGTAGGAACTCCAAAAAGGTGTCTGGAGCAATCCTGATGGAGAATGACCAATTAAAATTATGTCTAGTCTGATGCCAAATGATTTAGAGTCCTGATACATAAATGGTTCTAATGGATGCAAACTAAACAAGGATGGAGGTAACATCCTCATTGTGACAGTGCTGGTATTTTTATATCATTTTTGCTAAAATTGTGGGACAATCTGGCCAGGGAAATGTTCAGAAGTGGCAACATGGATTATTGGTGAACCCAGAGGGCCCAGGTTAATGGTGGGACTGAATGAGCCTGGAGGTCTTTCCCAACCTAAAGGATTCTGTGATTCCAGATTTTTAGTTTATGCTGTTTGATGAGTGTTTGGCATCTTGCAGTATGTGCACTGAAGTTTGTGTGATGGTCTGAGGAATGAGCAGGGGTGGGTTTGTATGCAGTCATGCTGATATTTTAATAATATTATTTTATCTCTATATTGATACAACTGGGAGAAGGAAATCAGAGAAACTTCCAGTCTTACAGACCCTTTAAATACCTCTGTATTTTCAAGTTGAACCAAAGATCCTTGAAGTCCCTGTTGAACCATGTAGGATTTTGTGGGAAGTGAACCAACCTTCTCAAGTGAGCTGTGGGAGGTGAGGGGATGGAGATGAAACCTGTGCTGTAGCTGAGGTGTTGTTGTGACTCTTTCAGTGGGAGTGAGGAGGCTCTGTCCAATGAAGACTGTGAGAATGTTTATCACCTGGTGTACTCAGCACACCGGCCTGTGGCAGTAGCAGCTGGGGAGTTCCTCCACAAAAAGTAAGTCATCAGTTACTCTGGAAAAAGACCAAGTTTGTGAATGCTTCCTAACGAGGTAACATCAAAAACCAAAGAAGCAATGGAGTGAAATAACTCAATTTAGCAAATCGGGTATTTCATTCAAACCAGAGACTTTATTCTCTTGTTTAAACAAGATCTGAGGACTTGAAGAAACTGAATGTACATTTTTCTTGCTCTGCAATTCAGATAACATTTCCCAACTCCTTGAGGGTTAAATATACAAAGGCTGCACAAACTTCTGAAGTTGGTTTAAGTTCTGCAGCACTTGCTGAATTCCTGGTGTGATAAGATACATCTATTGGGCTTGTAGTCTGGGGTGATCTACCTGATATGTCAACAGTCATAATTTCTAGCAAGTTTTAAGACAGTTTATTTCTCTGTTGTGAACTTGAGCAGTTTTTATGTAGCAATAACTACAAAATTTGTTTCTAAACTCACTGTCTTCCCCTGAAAATATATTGCATTATGGTTACATCTTTCATGTCCTCACTATGCCAAAGGACATGACCCAGCTTTTCCAGGATGTGACACACCACCTCTGTAACTGTGACCAGGGCATTGCCACATCATAAGAATTAACTTCTTCTTTTTTATTGTTTGCAGTTAAAAATCTTTCAGCAGGAATTTGATTTTTTTCCTCTCATGTGTTGTGACAGAGTTTTTTATTACATGTATAGAGGATTTATATTATAACCCATGTTATCTAATTTTTTCATGCCAAGATACAGGTAGGAAAAAATACACAAAGACACCTGTTTTTCTTTGCCAATGCTCTAATTTTCTATGGTTTATTAAGCATTTACAGCTCCACATTGTAACTGTAAGCTTCCATTGGTGGATTTTTGGAATTCCAGCTTTGTGATCAAGTACTACCCGTTTCAAGGAGTATATGTGCAGATTTTCATTAATAACAAGACATTGTACTAGTCACTGGAAAGGGTTGGTTCTCATTAAAAAAACACACGAAAATTCCTTTATTGACCAACACGTGACAGAATACTTTGAAAAATGCCTCAAGGTAAATAAGGACATACCTTCTCCACAGTGCACTTAGGAAAAAGACAAAACTTCATTTTGACTTCTTTTACAAGGTACTAAGCTGTGTTCTGCAAATGTGCCTCGAGGCTAACAGCATGGAGACAAGATTGTCCCATTCTTAACTAATTTTGTCTTGGTTTCTGTAAAGAAAATCTCCAGTTAAATAAGTTAGAATCTATTTCAGGCATTTGAGGTGTGATTTATCTCACCTAATTTAATACATTTCACAAGCACTTTCTCTGTGATAATCATCAGCCATGCTCTCTGTGCTTAGCCAAGGAAAGCAAATGGTACAGAGGATATAAAGGATCACCAAATACAGGAGCACTGGCTCATCCCTGAGGTGCAGGTTGTGAGGTATCAGCAGCTGCACAGGTGCTCATTGCTTATCTGTTAAGATAAGCAGGGGGGATGAGGTAATGTTTTTAACTAAAATACAACATTTGTGTGTAACTTGTTCTTCCCTTCAGTGAATTACAGCACTGAAATCAGAATTCTGTGTTTCACATGTTAATCTGCTTTGTGATTTCACTGTAAAAGCCAGGAACAGCTATCAAACTTCTCAAAGTAAAGCAGTCATTGCTGTAACAGTAATACTGGCACATCTGAAGTCTCTTGGAAAATTTGATCGTTGAGAGAAGTTTGGGATGGGCCATGCATCAGGGAACCCATTGCAGAGTGTGTCACTTACCTGTAAAACCCAAAATAATGAGTAGGAGCTGGTTTTATCTTTGATGCTGCTCCTGGTACCTGAGGTTGGCTGTTTGATGGATGTCAAGTTTGTTTGTCCCATGTCCCAGCCAGAGTGATACAACCCCAGCTCTCAGTGCACTGGTGCAGTAGGTGCTGCCTCCACTGCAAGACCGGATAAGTTATAAATGCAAAACTGTACAAGTGATACAAATATATGAAACTGTGCAAAACCTTCAATGTAAATAGGTTTTGGAGAACTTTTTCCTGTGTGAAATTCTTCCAGCACTGTGAACTTAAAGACTGAAGACAAACTCGTCTCTTCAGACAGGCAGAGGTTGTGGCCTCTTTCCATTGAAAGAAATAGCTTGAGATACTTGCAGTGTTTTATGAACAAATTTACTGTATCAAGAATGAATGTTCATCATATTCTTGCAGAAATGAGAATTGTTGTGATAGCCATGAGCTCCTTCTGCTTATTTTCAGGCTGTTCAGCAGACATGATCCCCAAGCTGAAGAGGCTCTAGCAAAGAGGAGGGGGCGAAATAGCCCAAATGGAAACCTTATTAGAATGTTGGTTCTTTTCTTTCTTGAAAGTGAGGTAAAAAAGTCATTTTTAAACTTTAAATGTTTAAAAAACCTGGAACTTAAGTGGTGATTTATCAACATACAGTAATAAATTATCTTTCTTTTCCCTTTTATTTTATATTTTCAGAAATACCATAAGCCCTTTTCCCTGCCCCTCCATTTCTTTTTCCATTAAGGAAATTGATCTGAAGATGTTCATGGTTTAACTCCTTCATGTCTCCACTGTACTCACACTGCATTGCTGGTGCTGTGGTGGCTGCCAGGGTACATTGCTGCACACAAATGGAAATGGTTCTTTGCTTACATAACCATGCAAGGAGAATACCTCTGGAGTTATTCTTTGGGGAGTAAAATAATTTGAATCAGGACAGGACAAAAATTGTATAATATCTCCAATTCTCCTTAGAATCATAGATTAACTCAGTGGGAAGGACCTGAGGGTCCTTAGCTCAGAGCAGAGTCAGCTGTGCGATGAGATGAGATGAGATGATATGAGATAAGATGAGATGATATGAGATGAGGTCTTCCAGGGCTTTATGAAGATGCATCTTGGAACCATTGGAGGATGAGGAAGACAAGCATAGATGAAGTGTTTGGTGAACACACCCGGGGTGGGGTTATGCCCATGATTTATAGAGACAGCATCTATGGGAAATTGTGTGGTACATGTAGTAACAGTAATAGAGATGGGGAGTGGTGGTGGAGGGAGGAGAATTTCAGAAGGTACTGTCAGGTACAGGATGTTCTTAAGATAGAGGGGGAAAGGTTCAAAATTATTAATTTGATTTGATAAATAAGCAGATTGAAAGAAAGGAATGACAGAAATGTTTCTCTAGAGAAGGGAGCGTAGTATATTTTGGGTAAAAAGCAAAAGTAAAGATACTACAATTGGTTATTTTAATTGTTATGAAGCCTTGAACAAGAGACTTGACTGAGAGAGTGAAAAGAAACACTCAGAGTTGCTGAGAAGGAAGGACAAAATTTTGGTACTGTTCTTGTTTTTTAGAAACACCTCATAAACCTAGAAATTAATCTGGATGAAATGTCACTACCTGTGTGGTCCTTCTGTCTGCCACCTGAATGGATTTTTAGTTCCAGCTTCTTTAAAACTTAGATTGTAGAGTTCATTGTGTTTTACAGTGTGGAGCCCTTAGATGTGAGTGTGATTTGAGTTACTGAGCACTGACCCTGTCTGTCCTCCTGAGGAGAAAAGAGACTCTGCTCCACTCCCAAAGCCAAGATCAGCAAAGTGCCTCCCATGCTGCTCCCTGAGGGTCACTTCTCTCTCAGGGACAGTTTTTGCTATTGTTGCTTTTGAGAGAGTTGTTAGGAGCCAAGTAGAATATCCTGACTCCAATTTTAGTAAAGAGCTGGAGAATTGGGAGTTTGTCTGTGGGTGGGATGAGTTAAAGCTGCAGCCTGGGGTGCATTCAAGGGAGTGAGCCTTGCCCAGCAGCAGTAACTCTGGGACATTTTGCCTAAAGCTGTCAGAAACAGAGGAGAGGAATGTACTGACACCTCCTTCTCTGCACTCAGGGATGTTTTCCAGCTAAGGAGTCAGTCCCTGGCAAGCACAAGCTGTGTGTTGTGCTTGTTACTTGTTGGTAGTAGTTAAAGATAAGTTTAGAAAACAGCAGAAGCCTATGGGTTATTTTTCTCACTTTACAACAGTTGTGTTAATTCACATGAAAACATTTTTTTGCAGTTGAAGTTAGTGTTAAATCTATAGCCTGTGAAATCACCAGGATTTTTGCTCCCTTTTTTTGAGCACATAGAAGGATGAAAACCAATTGCTAGTTCAAAACAAGTACATTACAACTCTCATGCCTTACCATCTCTCCTTTTTGTAATGCAGTGAGAAAGTGAGAGAAGGTAAGTTTACAGCTTCTGGGTCAAAACTCTGGCAAAGATTTTTCCCAAACAAGCAGCTTTGCGCAAAAGAAGCTCAGTTTGGTTTTATTTAGTTTCTGTTAAAGCATAACCCCATTGCACTGGTGTCATTCATTTGGGAGAAAACCTTCCTGAATTAGTTTCAAACTGAATGTTCTTTCCAACTAACATAAGATATGTGCCCAGGACACTCTGTGTGGCCACATGATTATGAAAGTTGAAGAACTGGCGCTTAATACCAAGAGCTGTACTGATGATTGCTTTGGATTTTCTAGTTGCATGAACATGCAGCCTATTTGGTGGACAGCTTGTGGGAGAGCTCTCAAGAACTGCTGAAAGACTGGGAATGTATGACAGAATTGCTCTTGGAGGAGCCAGTCCAAGGAGAAGAAGGTATTGGCTTAACCCTCTGCTTCCTTGATGTTGCACAGTATTGTTAATTATTCCTTAAATACCTCTGCCACCCATAGTGAAACATCTTTTATGTTGTGGTTTGTTTGGAAAGCATATTTGAAGATTTTGGGTTAATCTATTTTTAATGTACTTTCCTTCAAAAGCAGCAATTTGTACTCTATTTTTCTTTTTTATTATTCTCTGGAGGTTTCTTTAAATCAAATGTACTGCACTGTGGTTCCCTAATGTTGTAGGGAGTTTACTCAAGTCTTAACTTGATTTTGTCTGAATGTTTAAATAACTATTTCAATGAATTAAATAGCTAAGACAATTTTGAATAAACAAGCACTTCAGGTGATGCTAATTAATATGGGACTTTTCCAGGTAATGTGAATGCTCAAGAGAAAAAACAAAGGAGATTATTTCACCACTGGTTTCAGATTTCCTTTTGCTGATAATAGACCTGGCTGCACAAAGTAGCCAGGGAGACTTGGGGGCAAAGTGTCCTAAGGCTAATGAGTGTCATTCAAGATCCTTTATAATTCCCCAGGATTCTCCTGCTTCAGGGGCCTTCACAGAGCTTAGGTGTTTGAAAAATCAATGCTCCTGGCAAGGTGTGCTCATCATGTCCATGCTTCAAAGGCTGGCCTGTTGGTATGCACCTGCTACATTGGGGGTATTTATAGGGTAATTTCATTAGGAAATTGATTCTGCTTAGCCTAGTGGGGTTTGAGCCTCCAAATGTGAGCAGAAGCACTTGCCAGAGAGCAGAGAATTTATGAGGAAGTGACAGTGAATTGTCTGTCACTGTTTCCCCTCTATGACTCCTTTATTTTGTAGATCTTCCTTATGTTCCCCTTCACTGATCCTTTTCTCTGGGCTGCTTTCACTTCTGCCGTGTCCATTTTTCGAGGTGATGAATGGCAAATCAAAGAGGCGGCAGGAGAGCCTCACTGAATGTGCCAGTGTGCCTTGTGTGTGGTGTGTGTGCTCCCCTGGTGCTGTGTGCTCCCCTGCTGTCCCACACTGTCCCCGTGGTGCTGCCTTGCCCCCAGTGATGCCTGCTGTCCCTGTTGTCCCCGCAGCGATGTCGGACCGGCAGGAGAGCGCCCTGATCGAGCTGATGGTGTGCACCATCCGACAGGCTGCCGAGGCACATCCCCCCGTGGGCAGGGGCACCGGCAAGAGGGTGAGTGGGGCTGCAGCTGCCTGCTGCCACCAGAGCATGGAGGATATTTGTGACACCACTTTGGACACTCCTGCTGTAGGGTTTTTTACTTGGTGTTTGCTGTTTCATCTGAATGCTTCTAAGAAAAATATTAGAAATTCTGTTTCTGGACATGTTTGGTTTTCTCTTTGGTTTTGGGGTTTGCATGGCCAAGTTAAGCAATATAAATTTTCAGCGTGAAAGTCTTTTTTTATTATATTTTTGGATGTTCTTTTTATCATATCTCTGTCTTATATTTGTAATGTACCCACATCATTAGCCTCTAATGTTAAACCTAGATAAGAGTAGAAAGTTTAGGAGCAGAGCAAGCTGCCTCTGACTGTCTTCCATAAAAATGAATGTGCTGCTAATATGGACATAAAATTTGCAGAAAAGTCAACAGGATCTTCATCATGAAGGTTTTTAAGCGCTGGAACAGGTACTGGGAGTTGGTGCCCTTTCCATGCTTGGTCATTTTGGAGACCTGACTGGACAAAGCCCTGATCCTCCCAGTGTGACCCCTTGGGCTGGCCCTGCTTTGAGCAGGAGGGGTGGGACTGGGACCAGTCTGAATGTGTCTGTGCTTTTAGGCATCCATCCCCTTAGGCCTCTTCCATGGAGTGCCCTAAAAATTTCAGAACTTTACATTTTGGACAAATTGCCTCTTTAGCTTATTTTATAGGGACTGTTTGAGCACCAGTGAAAGGCCATTCCTAAGGCTGGACATGCAGTTTTAAACACTTCATTCTAAGTCACAGGGTCAGGGTAATAACAGGCTTTCAGCTGTATTTTCCATAAATACAGCATCCATGTTCCAAAGCAGTCTCAGCTTTTTAAACATATTCACCTGATTTTTAGTAGTCCCCATCTTATTTAGGATAGGCAAAAGTGGACTAAACCCACATGAACAAATGGTTCTTCTTTTAGCATCCATTCTAAATAATCAACTAGTTTGTTAAAGCCACAGATTTATTAAAGATGAAATCTGGAGAGTGTTGGCATTCTCTATTGCTAAAATGCAGTTACTTCTGATTTTTTTATGTGCCAAAGCAGATTAGTCTCATATCCAGAAACAGTATCCCAGGAAAAGCTCCAAGAAGCCATCAGTTTAAACATGCTTTATGTACTTTAATTTATAAAGCACATTCTTAGGAATTCCTAATTTATTAAAACATTTCAGGGTTAAGGAGGGAATCCATGAAAGCACTTACTGAAATTTACATAAGCATGTCTTATCTTTTGTTACAAAAACTGCATTGTAAGCACAAGTGTTTTGTCTCAAGCTGCAAACCTTTCTAGCAGTCAAAATGACCTTTAAATTGAAAAAAAAAAAAAAACCAACCAAAAAACATGTTGGTATTTTCTGTTTGGAGCACTAAATAATGTCATTATTAACTTTCCAGGTATTTTCTCTTTCTCAAGAGATCTACAGCTCAATTCACTGAAATTCAACAAATTGCTTAGTCTTAAGTTTTCAATGTCTGTATTTGGAGCCAAAGAAAACAGATCAGTAAAACAAATTCCACCTTCTGAAGGATGATCAAAAGAGCCTGGAAGTCATGCTGGGGACACAGATCAATTCCCAGTGCCAGGGAACAGCTGTATTTAGTCCCCAGAATATGACTGGGCTGTCAGGGCTGGGATTCTGCCCTGGGTTTGCAGTGCTCTGAGCTTGGCTGGGGCTGCCCTGGTGGGTGTGCAGGGCCTGAGGCTGCTCTGGAGCCATCTCTGCACCTTGCACTGTGCAAGTGGTGTCTTGTCCTGGTCACTGATCCATTCCCCCCACTTCCATGGCTGTTTTGGGTTCCTGCTGGCACAGTGCCTGGCATCCAGGCACATGCCTTGTGTCCAGCTGCTCCTCCTCCCTTGCAGAGCCAGGAGAGGTGACACTTAGCTTTTGCTTCTTTTTGCTTAGACCATGAGTTGTGGGATGGTAACTGCAGGGTTCTCTGCCTTGTCCCTGGAGATTCATCCCGTCTCACAATCCCACCAACTTGTCTGAGTTGAAAGGGAGCAGATTTCTAATTAAGCACTCACCTTCTTGTGAAGTAGTTTCTCCTCTGACTTTAGCTTGTAACCCTTACTGTGCAGTCTGGCTGATTGGCTACATGTGAATCATTAGCTAACTTGAGTATTTTATTATCATTATTTGTTCTCAAAAGTATTCATTTCTTTCCTAAGCCAGGAAGCCAGAAATAAGCTTCTGATAAAGCATGCTGGTTTGATTATTGTCTCTCTGTTCAAGGGGGTTTTGTTCTCACAGCATTAGTGCTTCAGTACCTCGCTGTGAACTTGGATGCACGTTCTCACTGAGAATTCCATTCCATTTAGAGAGGAGGCCATGAATCTTCTAATGAAAATCATTGTTACAGTGTGGTTTGGTTTTGGTTTTCTTAATTATACTTCACTTTGCCCTGAGGTCTTACATTAATGCTTGGTTTAATGTGTGAAAGCCAGAGTTCAGTACAGTTGGAAGCAATAGCAAAAATTCCACTGACTGGGATTATATTTGAATTTAAATCCTAAAAAGATGTTGATGTGTGGAGGCAATGTCATACTGGGTGATAGAGTATTTTCCTTTTCAATCACAGCTGCTTAGGACACACTCTTTAATCACTCTTCAACCCAAATGTGTTTTGAGTTTTTTGTTCCCTCCTTGTTTGATTTATTAAAAAATACACTTACATGGGTTTTTGTTTGTAATACAATGTTTAGAAAGTTAATGAATGCTATATGCAGAAAATGTATTTACTATGTATTTACTGTAGTTATGTTTGATCACTTCCAGGTCTTGACAGCAAAAGAAAGAAAAACTCAGATAGATGACAGAAATAAATTGACTGAGCATTTCATTATTGCACTTCCCATGCTGCTATCAAAGGTACTGTTTTCAACAAAATCAATCTTTCACTGGGATTTACAGCTGTCTTTAAACTTTCTCATTCTATAGTGCAGGGGTTTATTTTCACTTCCCTGTTGTCTGTTTTGTTGCCATGATGTTCCAGTATTCCGCTGATGCTGAGAAGGTTGCAAACCTCCTGCAAATCCCTCAGTACTTTGACCTGGAAATCTACAGCACAGGCAGAATGGAAAAGGTATTGTGCCTTGGGCAGGAGGTGTGGCTGCTCTCAGGTGTGAGCCCTGTTCAGCCCCACAGTGCTGTGCCTTTGTTTGGCACATGAGCAATGCAGCCTTGGGTGGGAGTTCTGGCAGTGGCTTTGCTCAGTGTCATTGTCCCATTGAGGGAGAGCTGAAGTTCTTTTCTGCTCTGCAGCATCTGGATGCCTTACTGAAGCAGATTAAGTTTGTTGTGGAAAAGCATGTGGAATCAGATGTTTTGGAAGCCTGCAGCAAAACCTACAGCATCCTCTGCAGTGAGGAATACACCATCCAGAACAGAGTTGACATAGCCCACAGCCAACTTATTGATGAATTTGTGGATCGATTCAACCATTCTGTCGAGGATCTACTGCAGGAGGTTTGTTTTCTTAAAATTGTTGAACTGCCTAAAATATGGTAGGATAGGCTACAGAAAAACATTCTTAGCAAGCCATGAAATTATCCATCTGAAGATGTAGTGCAGCACCAGCTATTTTATAATTATTTGGAGCCACTTCTCCCTGTGGAAAGTCCTTTACAGTAGCCATTAAGCCTTCAAATCATTGGTCATGTAAAACAAGACTGTGGGACAATCCTGCTTCTGAAAATTCAGTTGAGTATTAAAACAGTCCACATAAGGAATTAAGTGGATGAATGGGTGAAAGATGGTGACAAATGCAGAGGAAGTTGTACTTACGTTAATGTTTTTAGTGATTCCCATAGTCCCAGATGCATATGTAGGTAGCAAAATCAAGATTGGATTATGGTTTGAATAGAAGAGAGGAATTTAAGAAAATATGTATGTTGAAAGAGCCCTAGAAAGAGTGAAAGATACAGGCTGGAAACCTGGAAGAATGAGAACAGCAGTAGCAAGGATTTAAAATTATGGCCTTTTGTGATACTCTTTTTAAAGTGATAGTTGTTTGAATAATTTATTTTAATAAGTCTATTTCATCATTTTAAAGACATTTTAAATTTTAAAAATTGCATACTGGTGCCTAAGCAATTCTCTGGGCTGATAATGAGAGAAACATTGATTGACAATTGCATCTGAAGGCAGGAAGATGTTTTAATTGTTCGGTTTTTAGATGGAAAAGAAATTATCAAAGTGAGATGGAGAAGAAGAATTGTTGCTAGTGGGTTTCTTATTTTAGAAAATTGCTGGAAATACCTTATTTTCACTTGATTCACTAAGGAAATTTGCTGTTTAGTTTACAGAGTATTCTAAAATTGTGTTGTAGCATGTTCATCAGCTAGTGATTAAAGCTGGTGGTTCAGTCCTTTTTATAAAATAAGATAGAACTAGATTTTGGTGTTTGGAATGATTTCTATTGCTAAAGGATACAGGTTTGGATATTAACACAGTGATAATGCTGAATATTGTCAGATGATCTTGCTTGCTTTTTAGTGCTGTGCAGTGGCTACTTAAATATTATGGAATCTACATAAAAATCACTAGAAATTTTGGAGACGGTTTTGTTGTCAGTATAAACCCTTAAGAAGCTGGTCCTGCCTGTGCAGAAATGTACTGGGCTGAATTGCTGGATTCTCCTCATGGATTGCCTTTCATTTGCAGGGAGAAGAAGCTGATGATGATGACATCTACAATGTGCTCTCCACACTGAAGAGGTTGACATCTTTTCACAAGTAGGTGGTGCCTTCCCTCACAAATTTGTGATGTTAATTTTATCCTTTCAGCAAGTATCAGCAGTGTCAGGTGTGGGGAAATGAGAAAACACATGGCCTGAAATCTGAAGTGGAGATGGAGGATGACTGGTGGAGTTTGTCAGTGCAAGTGTTTGGGTTGATCTGGTCCTTGCTCAGTTTGTGCCATGACCTTTGCAAATGGGATTTGCAAGTGGCACCTCCTCCCTTGTTCCCAGTGTTGTTATACCCATGAGTAAATTACTACAGGTCCTGCTCTCCCACAGGACACAGTCAGGGCACAAGGGACACTGTGCTTTGGGCATCAGCTTAGGGAGCCTACAAGAAGCTGTTTCTCAATGCCTTTGAGCTACTTGTCCTCAAAATTATAGAATTAATTAGTAGTAGTAAAGATAATAATTAATAGTTCATGGTGAGAGCCTGGAAGATGCATTTTCTTCCTACAGTTGAATTGTTGGCCAAATTTCCCTTTGTGGATTGCACAGAATCTCCCTCACCAGGCACAAATCAGCTTTTCAGGTTCCTGCTGCTCTCAGACCTATGGGCATCCTCAGCATGTGCAGAGCAACCTGGAGAACTTCACTGGAACTGTGAATTCTGGAGCACAGCACAAAGGCCTGATCTGCCCTCTAACTGCAGGAAGCACTTTCTCCTGTCAGCATGAGAGAAAGCTTCATGTGCAGGTGGCAGAGAGCCACAAATCATTTCTTCTTCATCACAGTGTGGGAGTGATGCTAAATGAAACCTTATTAGAGAAATTAGACTGTGTCAGTAGCACAGCTACTCAAAGCCCAAGGTACACCTTCCCTCTCTTTGTGCATCTTGAAGTGAAGCAGTTTGGTGAGTGGAAAGGTCACTTCTTGGAAAAGAAACTTTTCTAAGCTGTTTTATGCCACATTTGAAAAACACCATGAAACTGGTACCTTTACTTCACCTGCCTCTTGTCTGGCAGAAATGTGCCCCAGCAGACAGGGCTGTCCATAAGAATTAAAAGAAACCTTGGATGAAATACTGGAACTTGTTTTCTGAAGTCCATGAATAGTCTGACATGGAAGGAACTAAGGGAAAATTCTGTGTTGTGTGACTTTTCTTCCTGAACCTCTGTGGAGAATTGTGTGGTGTCCAAGATCCCTTTTTAACTATGATTTTGATGGCTAAGTAGCTCAAAAGTGATAAAGAGGTACCAGAATATGCCTAACTGTAATGTGGAGGCTCTGCTTGAAGAAAGTTGCAATTGAAAGGCTGTGTGTAAGTTGTACATAGTTAGAATTTTTCAGCTCTGGAAGCTGAAGAGCCCTTCCTGAGCTCAGCTGTAAGGCAGAGGGCAGGGAGCTGAGTGTCCCCAGCTGTGAGGACATGGCCCCTGTGCTGGCTGCCTGATGGGGAATTTCTGAACTGAAAAGGCAGGAATAAGACAGTTTTTCCTTTGATATTCTCTGTAGCATAATCTGTGCAGGTATCTGCCTCTGCACACCAAGGAGACTTTGCAGCTTTAATTACAGTGCTGTAATTAAGGAAATACCACTCTGCCTTGCGAGCAACCCTGTGATTCATGGAAGCAGCATCTCTGTGCTTAATATCTCCAGTCAGAGGCAGCTCTCTGGCAGCCTCTAATTTATCCATGAAACAATTTATTTTAGTACCTCAAAGACCATCTAAGTCGGCAAAATTTTTTTTCCACTTTTTACATTTTTAGTTCCAGTATTTTTTTGAAGTGTTCCTGTTTTTCTCTTTGTGGATTTGAACTGGGAGTTAAGGTGCACCTTGGCTTTAATGGCCGAGCCCTGGAGTGCACAGGGCACTCTGATGGCTTTCTGTGAAGCTCTTACCAGTGCCATTTTCCAGGGCTGGCTTGCTCCAGCATGGGAGGTGTTTCATGGCAGGGCCTCCAAAAGGACCTGGGCATTGCCAGTGCTGAGTTCAGCCTCTGTCCTTTTGGACCTAGGGAGGTTTTCCTTCTGGCTGAGCAGGGCAGTTAATGGTCTGACCCAGGACAGGCACAGGGGTGGGAGGAGTGAGCTTGGCTGGGTGATCCAGGTGCTGGGATGAGTCAGAGGCAAGAGGCTGCTGCATCCAGTTGAGACTCCCAATTCAGTCTCAGTATCCCTCCTTCCAGGTGAGCACTTCAATCAGCAAGTTTCTGAGTATTCTGAGCTGGCTTGCTCTTTTATAGACATATTATAAACTGTTTCAAGTTATCTCAGTTTATTTTCACTGCAGAAAAATATTCTAAACCTAAATTTACTTGCTGAGAGAGTATTTTTGTCTTGCAGGCAACCTGATGTTTTTCAGTTGCTGCTGTATTTCTCACTTCTCTATTAACCAGCCATTTCAAGCTGTTGAGGTCTGTAAGGCTACAGCCTTACAGAGTATTTGTCCCTAATGTCATTTTTATTCCTCTCACAGATGAATTCAGGTTGGTGCAACTGAAATGTTGCCACCATCTCTATCTCATGTCCATGTGTTATCATATGGTCTCACTTCAGATACTCAGGGTATTTATATCTAGTGGTCATGTGTATTATTTTTTTCCAAATAAGACAGTAGAAAAATATACAACTTTATTTTGCTTACAGCCGTTTTTATTCAGTAGATATTGATAGAGCTTGGCTGTAGTTTCTACTGCAATGCCAGGGAAGGGTTTTCTGGAGTTCTGTCAATGTTTCCAAAAGAGGAAGGATAACTTAGAGAGAGAAGCAGCAGCTATGCTTAAGTAGCCTTTATAGGTGTATGATATGGAGAGAGTTTATCTGCTCCCTAAAAAAATCCCATGTAGTAAAACATTTTTCCTGGATTATCAGAAAGGCTGACTTGTGCTTTTAGCATGGAGTGAGGTGCTGTGCAGCTGCTTGGTCAGCTGTGGAAACCACCAAAGCTCTCTGGGCTGGGGGTTCTGAGGAACACAATTAATCCCTCTTGATTTTCTCTCATTCCAGTGCTCATGATCTGACCAAATGGGATCTGTTCAGTAACTGCTACAGATTGCTGAGAACTGGAATTGAACACGGAGCTATGCCAGAACAGGTACCCTTAACAGCACCTGCACTGCATCACTGGGGTGTCTGAGGTTCTAAGGAGTCTGCTTGTGCAGAAATTCAAAAGTTCCATGTATGATTTCTGAGCTTCTTCCCTCACCTTTCTCATCTGTAAAGTTGGGAATAGCTGATGTTCCTGACTCTGAAAAGCAGTGCATCAATCCTGATGTTTACACTGAAACCCAACATTGTAAGCCTTGGCTGCAATTAGAATGATCACAAATGATAATTGTGCATGGAAAGTAAGATGAAAGCGTATGAAAACCAGGAAACTAGAACATCCTAGTGTAGTTCTTTTAGGAAACACATCTTGGCCTTTGTTCCCTCAGAGTTCAGTTTTTGTTTCTCATGGATGAGCACAGGAGCCATCTCATATTCTCCCATGATTCCTGTTTAAACTGCAGAATTCCTACTTAAGCATTTAAACATTTTAAGTTTTTATTTCATTTCAGTCAGAAGCCAGTTGTTAATTCTAACTCGGCTTCATTTAGAAAAAAAAGAAATTGTCATGAAATTCTGAATAAGAATTTTGTAGAAAGGACCTTAAGAGGAGGCATTGCCACACAGTGTGTGAAAGTCCTCTCTCTGCCCTTGCTGCTTTATGCTGGGGTTGTGCTGCTAAAGGGACGGGGCTGGCAGATAAAACCTGTCCCTGCAGCTGCCAGCCATCCTCAGTTTCTGGGTCTGACAGTGTGTGGCTGTCCAAATGCCTCCATAAGATTTTAGGGAAAGATGCTGAAATCTGAGCTCTGCTCAGCATTTCTTCCTGCAGGCCGTCCTGAGGCAGTTGTAGCACCTCCTCTGGATTTGAGCTGTTCAGGAGACACCATGGATGCTTTATATGACCCTGGTCTTCTCCATGGGACAAGTTGTATTGTCTCCCTTTTTTTAGCAATTGGGCTACATGTTCATTTTCCGGTGGAGCAGATTTTTAATGCTGTTTAATAGTGAAACCAGGTATAGAGATATTTCAACAGATGCTTTTGATCTGAGAGATGTAGGTGTTGGGTTGTACTTCTGTCACACTGTGACATCCCCTCCTGCTGTATCCCAGTGCAGATTTCTGGTGTTTCCCAGATTTACACAGTATTTTTTTGCGTCTAGTAGGCTGATTTCTTATTGCACTGAACCAACCAAGGGAAAACTTGATACCCTTGAAAATAAGAAGTGCTAAGAGTGCTCCTGTCTTTTCAGCACAAAATGCCTGATAGATTTTCCATACACTTCCTGCTGTGCCTGCTGTTAGCAGCATGCTGAGATTCTGTGTGTTCTTGTGTTACAGATCGTTGTCCAGGCACTGCAGTGCTCCCACTACTCTATTCTGTGGCAGCTGGTGAAAATCACTGAGGGCTCCCCTTCCAAAGTAAGTGGCCACTTGACCAAACAGATTTTACTGACAGATACAACTTACCTACAAAGGTGTTACACCTGATTTCTTTGTAACTTCCATTCTTGCCATCGTTTGTTGTCATTTATAGCATATAAAATGTTGCTGTTCAGATTTGTTCCGTGTTTCAGGATCTATTTAACATCATACATATGTCTAAGCAATGTAAATAGTTTTAATCAGGATTTTATAGTAGCTGATTATTATATTTTTATTGCAGAGGATAATTAACACACTTTATTGTGAGGACTGCAGTTTGCATGGCTGATAAGGAATGTTGACATGAACAGTTGTGAGCAATACTGTTGATCTGTAGACCACAGATATCTTAATCTTGATGTGATAAGTTACTTTGCTTACTCTGTAATTACAGCCTTTATGTTGCAATAAAAATGGCAGGACACAGGAAGTAACAATTGCTAATAAAAAGCAAATGCACACAAAGTATGGTCAGGACAAGGTGACAGGTGACTTTTCCAGGACCTTTCCTTAGCTCTTTTCTCAGTCAGAGGCCAGCATCCTGTTTTTTCAGAGCTTTTTCAAAAGTAATACATCAAATTAAAATGACATGAAACCTGAAGCAATAATTGTACTTCTCCATCAGCATCAAAAAGGTAAAGATGTTGTATTGAAGTGCTACAAGACCTCCAAAGGGTCACTCCAGAATGGCCATGCCAAGTAGAAGTCAGTTTGGCTTTGCCCCATGAAAATCATAATTACTGTCACCTAGAGAACTCCTAGCAATTTCTTATTTGGGGTTCCAGCCACTACAAAATCAGTTTTGTGCATGCTTAGTTCCAGGGAAGCCCAGCATTAGTGCCCTGCAGCTCTTCATAGTGGCAGCAGCCTCAGCTGAGGGCAAAGAGACAACCACAGACCTGCTGTGGCTGGAGCACTTTGCTATCAAACTTTCCAGTTCACTGTGAAAATAGATCTGATCTGCACTGTATGTGGCATTTCATCCACTGGGAAATAATTTTGCCCATGGCTGGTTTATAAGTCATTATTTAGGCTTGGAAATTGGTAGACATTAAAGGGCACCTTTGTCTACCTAAAGTTGTATTGCAAAGGCATTAACAGAAGCATCTCAGAATGAAAAGCATTTATTTCATGGGTATTTTGGAAGTATTCAGGCTTTTACAGCAACATTTCTGGCACAGCAGTTTAATATGTAAGTCCATGCAGGTTTCTAGGGCTACTTTGCTGTTTCTAGAATGATCTCAGGGCAGAGAGGGGTGATGGTGTGTAGCCTCTCTAGTAGACCAATGGGTATAGCTGCCAGAAGTAGAGAGGCTTTTGGACTCACAAGCCTTTTGGGTTTGAGATAAAAGCAGAAGATTACAAAGCAAAGGACCAGCTGGAAGGAATTGCTTGGTTTCTATTTAGATACAAATGAGGTAAACTCTGACAGGGGAGGAAAAGGTTCTTGGTACCTGTAGAGAAGAGGTGAGAGCAGGGAGGGGAGAGGCAGTGACAGAGTTAGGAGGAGAATTAGTGGGGAAGGAAGATAAAAGATGAAAATGGAGAGAAGAGAATTTATAATATGTCATAAAACTGATCTTAAGTCTTGGTTTTTCTATATTCCATAGATTTATGAATTTTTGTTCTCAGGCTCATGTTCCAAAGATGATCTTTTAGCTTTCCCTTGAACAGTCAGGCTGAGAGATCAGAGATGCAGGGATTGATTTGTAAGAAATGTTCATCTGCTGCCAGCTGGGTCATTTGTGTGACCTCATGCTGGCAGTAGTAGCTGCTCTGTTTCACCTCATGAGGTCCCATTTAGGCAGTCAATGCACAGGATGAAGTATAGGAACATGTTGGAGTTGTAAGTACAGCAATAAAAGATGGAAACAAGTACAAGTATCTTGGCAAGTTTCACATTTGTTGTTTCATGTGTGCTTTGCATCCATCAAGTGCACCTTTCATTGCAGGGAGTTTGCAGGTGGGATGGGGAATTCTGGCAAGGTTTCCTTCAAAGGGAATTCTTTGGCTACAGTTCAGAATTGCTTGGTAATTTTTGTATCTTGTATTGATTTTGTGGTGGAGTCATACTTGACAACCATAGGCATACACTGGGAACAGAGTCATTTTGCAATGAAGTTATTTTTTGTCTAATGTTCAAATGGCTTCCAAAATACAGCACTGTCCTGAGAGAACTGCCCTTGTTTGGAACTGTCCTGGGCATTATGGCCAAGCCAGGGCACATTAATTGCTGTGTGAGGGATACCTCATATTCCAGCTGTTGGGCATGTTCTGGATCATGGCTCCCTACCTGATCCAGCTGTTTTGGAATGGACTCCATGTGTGGCAGAGAAAAACTCAACTCTTGTGGTTTAAATCTAATTAGGATCAAATCAGCTCATTGATATATTAACAGCACATAATTGACCTACAGCCAGTGCCACACAGCTCCAGGATAACTATCAGCTCTACAGAATGCAGGACCAGAATATTGGACACTTCTGTAATGTTAATGAACACCTACAAATTCCAAACTTGCCCTTCAGCTGGTCACAGGTTACTGAAGTCTCCTCCCCAAGTTACACACAAAGAGTTCTTGTTTCTCCAGGCTGTTACCAGGGGGTGAGGTGCCCCTCACTGTTCAATATCATTTGTAAATAGAGCCAAAAGGAGTATCTTTGATACATTATTATCAGCATAAAAATGTATCAAAGACATTTTAGCAGGAGGGTGATAATAAATGGATATTTGAATTATTGAGAAAGTCCATATTCTCTGCCCAACAACCAAGATTTTACCCATTGAAAACAGCAGAGAGTTGGGGCAGAGTTATTTTGAAACACTTCTTCAAGCTGTCCTTTGGAGAGAAGGGTGTCCTGTGGAGTCATCTTGGTGTCTAAAATTTGAAAGGAAAACTTGATTACTGAAAGGAAGGCTGCAGCAGGTATGAATGAAATGTGTAAACTTTGACATATCCACAGTCTGGTGTTGTAACCTTTGATCTCCCTCTGTGCATATTCAGTGGAGGCTGAGGCTGTGGGGCTGTTTGTGCAAACTGGTGCTCTTTGGGGCAAGCAGTGCAGTACTGGGGGTAGAAAGCTCATCCTCCATGGCTTGTGGGAGCAGCCTGTTGTGGCCTGGAGGAAAACTCCTCAGGTGGAAAGGGGTTTGAGGGTGGTTCCAAGGGAAACTGGTCATTTCTCCCCTGGAGTTCTGTCATGTGTCAGTCTGGAGGAGCAGGGACAGTCCTGAGGCAGGAGACTTGGGGATTAGAGCAGACACTTGTTTCCACCTGGATTTCTTCAGCCATGTCCCAGGTACCCAGGACATTGCACTGTACTCTGTGTGTGTATGTACTGAGAAGGAAATACTTGCAGGACAATAGAGTCCTAAAACTTAGAACAGTAAAAATAAAGCATGACTAGAGCAAACACTGAGAGGCAAGGCAGAGGTCAGCCAGTTATGGGTAAGCAGCAGCCAGAGCAGCCAAATGCTTGGCTATGAGAGTGTGATCAGTGGGCAGAGGACTTAGGAGACCTGATTTTAAAAGGGGTTTAAAGAACAATGTGGTGACTTGGTGACTTTTCATATTTATATGGGCATGATGACAGAAAGCAGAAGAAGCTAAAGGGAAGAAAAATGTCACAAAGGACAAAAGGTTGGACCATTTTCCACAGTTGGAGTGGAAGCTGAGGGTTCTTCAGCCCTGTGAAGTTGAAGGGTTGGGATGGAAGCTAAGGGTTCTTCAGCCCTGTGAAGTTAAAGGTTAATACTGCAAATAATAAGTACTTTAGAGGAAAAGCAGTGAGCACATAGGGAGAAGAGGATGGGGTTTGGGTGATGAACATAGCAAAAGCACAGCATTTTAAAATTACTTCAATGGAAAAAACAAGCTTTAATTTAAAGCTGGAAAGTACCTAAAGAATTGTAGACATGAGTCTTTTGAGCACCTGGGTTTGGGTTTGGGTGGTGGCACAGACTCCAGCCCTTGCTCTCAGCAGCTCATTCTTGTTCCTGCCATGGAGCAGTTCAGTTGCAGAGTTGTGACCTCGTGGTTTTGCCTAACAGCCAACAGAATGATAAAATGGTTTCATATCAGCTTTTCTGCTGAAGGCAGATCAGGTACTCACACCTCAAGAGCCTGGGCTGTGCACCCCAGAATGCTCAAAGACTTGGAAATCTAATTTTTTTTTTTTTCCCTCATTTTCTCTGTTGAAAAAAATTCCCACTCCTCAGTAGTGTGGGGATTTCTCCAAGCTCAGAAGAGTTCCAGATGGCTCCATTGCACTGTTCAGCTGGGCTTTCTCCTGCTGTCTGTAACTTTGCAATATGAATCTCTATCATGCTATGCTGTCAGGAGAGATGGTAATAAATATCATGTACCTGCTTGTTAGTCACTTTGACAGAAAGAAAAATGGGAGACACACTCATTCCCTTTTTAACCTGTATGTAGGTTTTTTCATGGGTTTTAGTTTCTCTGTTGAATTCATGGACATCTAAATGGAAGGTAATTGCAATAGAAAGTAGAAAGCAGGAAGGTGACTGTAATCCCAGTGCTTGAAGGGGTAAATCAGGTGATTGTGTAACAGTGAACTGATAAGCCTGGCATCAGTCCTGGGTAGAATCTTGGAGTGGGAGATGATAGAAAACACAGTTGGTACAAGGCTGAAGGGCCAACAGCTAAGATTGGAAGAAACACATCAATTTCTTGTTGATGAGATTGCATTTTTGACTGAGAAGAAAATCAATTGAAACACCAGTGTCTCTAAGACATTAATACCACATTGCATTTTAGGTGCATTTTTGGATTTAATGTAACTCATATTCAATAGCTCAAAACAGATCCATATATTAAAGAAAAAATATAGGTGAGCAATCCTTGCACAATGGAAGTTTCTGATGCATTCTGGCAGAGATCTGTTCTCTCCCAATAAAAGGGTCATTTTTATCAGTCATCTGGGAAGGCCCTGAAAATGGGGATGATATAGATCAATTAGTGAACAAAACACAATTTAAAATTTTTAAAAAGAGGCATCTTAATGCTGCCAAATGGGAGGTTTATGTCCAAGTTGTGATTAGAACAGAGCAGAACTGTCTTAGAGATTCTGTAATGCCAGGGTAATGCAGTGGCACCATGGCTGCATCATCAGAGAAAAACTGCTCAGGAATAGGAAGGTGAGGGAGTGCACAGACCTTGAGTGTCCATATCAGCAAATCTCACTCACTCCATTGGAAGTGATGAGAAATTCAGAGCTTTGGGAACACTCTGGGTGCTTGGGCACGCTGGCAGTCCTGTGTTGTGCTGTGAACCAGCACAGGGAGAACATATGGACCACAAAAAGGCTCTGCAGTAAACACAGAACAACGAGAGCTCGTGGCAGGAAGCACAAGGAAAGCTAAAACCAGAACTGAGACACATGGGCTGAACAGCATCAGTAAAACATTTCTGCAAGGAAAACATTGCATGGGCACTATGTAGGTTCTTCACATTGCTTGGAGGTTGTTCTGCAGGACATTGCCTTTGAGAGGGCTGTTCTGGGGGAAGGTCTGCAGAGCAGGGGCCAGCCATCCTGCTGTGAATTCATCTCATTTCATTTCATTTCATTTGGGGTTCTTGTTTTCTTCTTGGTGATTGGTTCATCATCACTGTAAAATCAAGGCACTGTTTCTGTGTGTGTGTTCTTTTTGAATAGCTTATTTCTTTCACAGCTTTTTGTACAATGTATGAAGTCATCACCACCACTATTTCTTTATTTTGCTTCCTTCAAGAAACTTCTTACTAATTTTTATATACTTTCTTTTTTAATCTTTACTCCAGGAGGACTTGTTGGTATTGAGGAAAACTGTGAAATCCTTCCTGGCTGTCTGCCAGCAGTGTCTATCAAATGTCAACACTCCAGTCAAAGAACAGGTAAAAGAAATGTCTGACTCTTAGAAAAGTGTGATTATTAAATTGTAGTAAAACTCAAGACTACACTACATCAAACTTAAAGTAAAATAATCTGTGCCCCTGTCTAAATAAATCTGAACAAGCAGCCCAGAAGAGCAGCTGTATTAACAGAACTTCCAAAGCACAGCTCATGACAAATTAACTTTTGATTAACAGTGAATGAGTAAGGATTACCTGGATGCTCAGGCTCATTTCCAGCGCTTGTGACTTCAGGCATCCAACTCAGTCACCTCAGATGAAAGACTTTTTCTGCAGACACTGGATTAAAAGGCAGTAGGCATTTCTATTTAAAAGGAAATAGGCACTACTGGAGGGTGACTGAGACTTCAAATGGGCTGAATATTTTGGGGTTTTTCCCCATTGAATCAAAGGGTTTGTTGAAATAATTAAATCTGTCTCTGCAGGACACAGTAGCTGGTTTGTTAGCTGAGGTTTTGTGAATACACACTGATTTATGTCAATGACATTTGTCTACAAATGGCATTTCTATCAGACCTCCCCAGATTTTGCAGAGTATAACTAATAACTGGCTTGGGTTTTTTGCCTGTGGTATTTAAAAGATAATACTTGTCAAAAGACACTTTTATTTCTTTGAAAGATAGCTCTGCTTAGCATTTACTCTCTGTTCTTCAGATTGCTAACTATAAACATTAACTGCTCAGAGATGTCAGTAGTTTATGTAGTCTCTAAAAGACTTGTGTGTCATTGGCTTCCAGCTGATTTTACTTTAGTAATTGTTTTTTAACATTCAGAGTAGTTACTCTTGGCACATTATATTAATATTGTATTATGTGAAAATATCTTCTAGCTGCATGCAAATACCTTCCAGCTCGAGCTGGACCTGCCATTCTTCCTTGCCTCAGCAAATGGCAAATGTTCCTTCCCATTCGTGCTGTGGGTTTCTTCTTGAGGTGTATTAACATGGGTTTGTTCTCTTCCTGCCAGTGGCCACAAGGGTTTTTTCATTGATAATTTAAACTTTGTTTAGAAGCTCCTTTGCAGTTCCCAGTTGTGGGGAAGTTTCCAAGCCTCAGCCAGACAAACCCACGCCCAGGCAGGCCCAGAGAGAGTGAGTGTCCTGGGCAGAGTGGCTGGAGACTCCATGGACCCATTCCAGCTGACTCTTCTATGATTTGCTTTTGTTTTCTTCCTTAAAATGCATATTTCTGTGAGTAGCAGGACTGCTACTTACTGCTTTTGTTTTACTGGATTTTTTTTGAGAATTATGTGCAAATTGTTTCCCTACCATACTTGATCCTTGCTCCAGACATTCTTTCCAGACAAAGTTGATGTCCATATCAAAGGAAGGAAAACTGTATGAAGTATTTAGAGAAACAAGACTGAAACATTTCAACTTTTCCATGAGTGTTTGAGGGAAATAAATATCCTGTGACTGAGCCCACTGCTGCCTTTATATTGGACAGAACTCAGCGCCAGCAGTGCATTACTCATCTGCTCTTTTTTAGAGGTCTGCATTAGGAAGAGCTTCAGTTCTGTTGAGTATCAGGGAAGTTTAGAGCAGGTGAGATCATCACTGGAATGAATCACAGCCTTTTGGATAAAAGGGAGAAAAATCCCAAATAGCAACATCTGTTCCTAAGGTCTCAACAGAACATAGTTTACAATGATGTGCATCTGTTCTTGCCTGAGTGTAGCTCATTCAGATTTTATAACATACTCCCAGAAATAAGGGAGCCATTAGGAAGTTCAGCATTTACTAGGAAGTTCAGATTTTATTTTAGAAATTTGTAAAGTTTTCAGAACCTGAGGTTAAAAATAGAGAAGCTATTAATAAAAAGGCTTTGGAAATGTGCTGAATGTGATCAAATGCAGACAGCTGGCTGTGAGACACCAGCAGAAGCCATGTGGGGGCAAAACAGTGTTATTGCCATGCAGGAATGAGCCCTTGGAAGGAAGGAAGTTTATGACAGCTGCCTTCTTTCCAGTCTCAGGTAATGAGGCTATAATAGTAATGAGCATAAATCATGAACAATTCTGCCCAGATTGACTTTTGTCTGGATTTGAAAGCTGTGCAGACAAACTTGGTTCTTTTTTTTGCCAGAGCTTTTGATGAAATTCTGCAAAAATGTCCTTGCTGTGGCTGTTTGTCTGTATTTTTGGGGTCTGACAGTGACTCAGCTGGAATTTTCGCTCAGTGTTGTTCATGTTTTTACTTGTTTGATTTTTTGACTGTTTATCAAAAGAGGTATGCTCTCTTTACTACAAATTTTGCTGCAGGCCTTGGATCAGAGGTAGATTTAGAGTTCTTTTCCTAGAGAAGAAATGGAAGTTTAATATGGGTGATGTGGGACATGGAGAAGGTAATAACCACAGTTCCTGACCTAGGAACCAAGGGCACAGCATTCCAAAGCAGAGGAAACCATTATGGAATGCTTTTCACAGCACATAAACAGCTCCACCTGAGAACAGTTTAAGAAGCTGTTTAATAGTAGCAGGGGATATCTGGAAATTAGATCAGTGGTACTTTGTTTTCCTTTGTTGGCTTTTCACTGCATTCATTCTCTTGTGCCTTGCAGGCTTTCATGCTGCTCTGTGATCTCCTGATGATTTTTAGTCACCAGCTGATGACGGGAGGTCGAGAAGGGCTCCAGCCTCTGGTGTTCAATCCAGACTCAGGCCTCCAGTCAGAACTTCTCAGTTTTGTCATGGATCATGTGTTTATTGACCAAGATGATGAAAATCAAAGCATGGGTATGTTTAGCTTTTTTTTTCATACCAGACACAGAAGAAAGGAGAAAATAGAATTTTGTTCAGTTGTTCAGATGTTTTCAGAAGTATTCCTACTTTTTGGAAGGTCACTACTCTGAAGTTTCTTATATAAGTTGTGGAATATGCTTTTGTTATATAATAGCTATATTAAAGATTTTATTTGTGCAGTTTATTTTTCATTCACAGAGTAAAGCCTTGCATAGGAACTTAATATTTATGGCATTGCCATTCAGTGTTAATGCTTCTTACAACTGGATTTTACTTCCTGTTGTTCAGAACATTGATTTCACATCTGAAAATCCAAGGCATGCAGAAGTACTGGTGCTTCTGATTTTTCTTTTGTTAAATATTTATAGCTTAGTCATGTTAATGGAGTCTCTGTGAAGGTTCTGTGTTTGAGAGGTTAAGCAAGAGCATTCAGCAAGAGTTCACTGTGGCCTTTCACAGGGTATGGGAAATAAATGACTCAGTTCCATGTGGATTATATCCAGGGTCTCTTGAGAATTACGGAGAGCAGCTTTGGTCAGTGGTGTGTCATGTTCCTAAACTTCTCTGGAAGTTTCCAAGTAGGCAGGACTCAAGACTTACCACCTTTCATTTTAGCTTCTTCTCCAACAACCCTTCTTGCTTCATGTTCAAGAATTGATTTTTTTCTAAGAGCTCCCCTTTGATAATGTTGTTTTAGAACTTAACAGTTACTTACAAACATACTGATGATGCTTTCAGAGGGAGATGAAGAAGATGAAGCCAACAAAATAGAAGCTTTACATAAGAGAAGAAACCTTCTGGCTGCCTTTAGCAAGCTGATAATTTATGACATTGTGGACATGCATGCAGCAGCAGATATCTTCAAACACTATATGAAGGTACAGGCCCTGCATCCTCCTGTCCTGTTCCTTACTCCACTTTTTGGCTGTAGCGAATTCCTTTCCCCTCAGTGTACAAGGAGCACACACCTCTGTGCTGGTGTCTGTTCACACCTGCTTCTTAGGGGGTGTTGGATCAATGTCATGTTGTTGCTTGGAATTGGCAGCCATGGGTCACCTTCATCAAGTGCTTAGTTTGGAGCAGGAAATGCTCTTTTGTTTGGTTTTCAACATGTTTGTTACAAAAGAAAATAAATACAGAAGTTTCCTACCTTATCACAGGGTTTGGTTTAAATTTTGATACTGAAATGTTGCCCCCCACTCACATCAAAAATCTGGATTTGAGCAACTGCTGCCTTTTCAAATCAAGAATTAGAAGTAATCTTTCTCTTGGGAAAACTGTAAGAAATTGTATAAGAGATTTTGATTAAAAGTTTTTGATTTTTTTTCACATTTGTTCTTAGTACTACAATGACTACGGAGATATCATTAAGGAAACCCTGAGCAAAACCAGGCAAATAGATAAAATCCAGTGTGCAAAGACACTCATTCTCAGTTTGCAACAGGTAAGAGCATTGATTTTTTTGTTAGAAATGCCTCACTGCAAAAAGCCCTGGCCAGGATTTCCTCTGATGCACTTTACAGGGAAGCAGAAATGCTGCATTTCCTTAGGACATTCTCTTCATTTTCCTGCTCCCCAGTTCAGACTCTCACTGCCCCTGTGTCTCAGTAATCTCTGTCTCCATAGGCCCACACTGGCAAAGCTTGGGCAGGTAAAAATGGAAGGGAGGGACAGAAGAGCCTTGGAGGCAGTTTGGTCCAAGCTGATTCATGGCATTTGTTTATTGATCCTGAGTCAACAAGAAGAATTAGGATGGCTTTTTCTTCTTAACATTTGCTGAAGTAATGCATCTTCCTTATACTTTGTCTAAATACTGATGAATTTTTCAAATTTCGAGCTAATTAAGTCTTCCAATACTGTTAGACATGTTTTTTCCCAGAAAAATTCTCTTTACATCACCCATAAATTACTGCCTGGTGATGAAATCTATCAAGCAACAGCACAAAGTGCACTAAATTCCACTTAGGCCCTTGAAGGACCAGCTATAGCCATTGCACAGAGAAATTACTTCTGCTAATTAGATGCTTTCAAATGAGCTGGACCTCCCCAAATCCCTTCCTAAGGGATTTGCTGTAGCAATCTGGAAGCTGAGAGAGATCTGTGCAAACCTGAGAAAAACAGATGTACTTCCAGAAGAGTCAGGGAGTGTCAAAGCAGCCCATGTCTGTAAGACTTGGAGAGGAGGAAGCAGCTGCCACAGATCAGTCAGGCTGACAAAATTCCATGAAAAATGTAATGAGAGGAGCTCTTTGCAAGAGCCTTAGTGACAAGTAGCAGCCAGTGTGGATTTGTCAAGGAGGAATCCTGTCCAATTAAGCTGCTGTCATTAATTACATGGTAACAGAGCTTGTGAAGATGAGAGAAACAGTGGCTGTAATGGAGCCTGATTTAATATCCTCACTGGCACTGTCTGCCAGGATGCTCTCAGCAACCAGTGAGAGATGGGGTGTAAATGGCAGTGCCAGGAGAAGTAGAACTGGCTGGAAAAGCATCAAGCACTTCAGTACTGTGCTGGGAGAGCCTTGGAGGCAGCAGTGCTGGGCAAACAGGCACAGAGGCTACAGTGGAGGAGCTGCAGTTTGGATCCCCAAATTCAGAGCACCACCAGTCTGATGGGTGATGGGGGTGCCAAGAGAACAGCACGAGAATGCAGGAGCTTCTTGATGAGTTCGGAGAACGATAGATGGAATTCAGGGAGGGTGGGTGCAGAATTGCACCAAAATAACTCCACACAGGTACAAGATGGGGACAGCTGGCAAACAGCAGAGGGACAGAAGAAATTCTGGCAGGTGACAGGGACACCATTGTGTCTCAGTCATCACAAAGGCCATTCTCAGATGGAGCAGGTTTAGAACCCAAGCCTTTCTCAATAAAAGTGTTTCCCAGCTCACAGATATCAACCTCTGAACTCTCTCTGCAGCTGTTCAATGAGCTTGTTCAGGAGCAAGGTCCCAACCTGGACAGGACCTCTGCCCACGTCAGTGGCATTAAGGAGCTGGCCCGGCGGTTTGCCCTCACTTTTGGCTTGGATCAGATCAAGACAAGAGAGGCTGTGGCCACACTACACAAGTGAGTGGTGGTAAATAAACTGGATTTTTACACTACTTCAGATTAAAACTCCTGTTCAGCATTCCCTTTCTCAGGATACATAATCTCAACAGGCAATTATATGGAATAATTCTGTATTTTTTTCTACTTTAATTAGAGGGGTCTACATGTATGTAGGTAGAAAGGAAACAAACTAGCTGCTACCTAATTATTTATTGGAATTTATTGGCATGGTTATCTCAGGTGGGTTGTGTGTAACAACTGTGTATGGTTCTTTGTTCCACACTACTCTGGATTCTGGAGGAACCAAAGGCTGTTATGTAAAGATACTCTAAAAATCTTTTAAAGTGGACTGAAAATGTTTATGCAACTGCTGCATAGAAAAGCATGGAAAGGTTCTGCTAAATTTAAATTATAACTTTGCCATGCCATAAAAAAGTTCAAATGCTAAGGTTTGGTGTCTCAGAGACTCAGTCCTTGACACCAAGATCAGCACGGTCAGGCTCAGTCAGGATGCACCAGGCACTGTCCTCAGCCAGGCAGGAGTCAGGGGACACTTGTGCCTTGCTGGCTGAGGGAAGGGACAGTGCTCTCTTCAGTCTAGGTGACAGAGCATAACCAAGCGTGTCCCTGCTCTGGGGACTCAGTTCTCTGCTCTGGCTGCAGAGGTTGGCTCCTGTTTGATCTGAATGAGCTCCTGCCCTGGGCTGCTCTGCCCAGCTCCCTCTTACAGGGAGAGCTCCCTCTTACACACTGGCCATGTGCTTATCTGAGGGGGTCTCACAAATCCACAGGGAACTCTGCATTCCCCTTTGTCCAAAAGCTGCTGTTTGCTGCTAATGGGGAATTACATTGTGATGGGACCTGAGGATTCAAATGGTTTCATCAAACTCAGATTTGGGGCAACTTGTTTGGGTGTTGGGTTGGGCTTTTTGTTTGCTTTTTTGGTGGTTTTTTTTGGTTTGGTTTGGTTTTGGTTTTTTTGTTGTTGCAAATGTCTGAACATGTTCATATTTCTGTACTGTAGAGATGGCATAGAGTTTGCCTTCAAATACCAGAATCAGAAAGGACAAGACTATCCACCTCCTAACCTTGCTTTCCTGGAAGTGCTCAGTGAATTTTCTTCCAAACTCCTGCGACAGGACAAAAAGACTGTGTAAGTAATGCTCTGTTTTCTTCCCTGGCCTCTGTTAATCCCTGCACTGTGGGTTCCAGCTCTTTCCTGTGAGGTCTCTACAATCTAACCAGGGTTGCAGCAAGTCCCTGAGACATTTCACATACATACTCACTCATCTTTTTGTGTTTTAAAGTAATAAAACTAAATGGGAAAAGAAAAATCAGACCCGCTAATGAGGTGAGTTTGAGACCTCCCAAAACAATGTTATCTAAAATTTCTTACCGGATATTTAAAGTAAAAAGTGCTTTTTTAGGCTAGAAGAAAAGAAATTACACCTTATCAGTGCAGGTAATTTACAGGCTCTCTGTCTTTATTTACAGAAATTGTAAACCTATATTTGTTGTTTCTTTTAATATATTGGAAGAGGACTCCAGTGAAACATCAGCCAAGCACTATGTGCCCAGTGTGGACCTAAATTCACTGAATAACTTTGTGATGAATTTAGAAGTGCAGTTGCCAGATCTGCTGATTTATGGTTATAGGTGCCTTTCCAGTCAGTTTTGTGACCCCACTGAGTGTTAGTCAACACAAAATCAACTGGAATGGCCCCAACTGATTCTTTCTGTCAGATCTTGCTGTGAAGTTTGACAGATGTTTTTTCTGTGAAGACATTTCTTTTAAAGGACTTTTCTATTAGGGTTAACAACTATGAACATTACAGCTTTGCAGTAAGAAATGCAGCTTGGTTTACTTTGTATAATTTTTAATGTGTACACACTTGAACCAATTTCACTTTTTCATTGTATCAATAATTTCATTGTATCAATAATTTCTCAAGTCACTGAACACTGTAGGGCAAACAGTTAAAGGAGCTAGGGAATGGGATGATCCAGTTAGGCTGGCTTGGCACTCCATTTGTGCATCTGCTCTCCATTGTTATGTCCTGGAATCTTGTCAGCTTCTATCCTCTTCCTCAGAACAGGACTTAAGGATAAAAGGATTTTATGGCTTGTCTTCTTAGCTGAGCTGTAGGTTCTCTGCATGGTGGTTCAAGTGCCACTGCCTGTTTCCTGTGGAATTTAGTGAAGTTTAGCCTTTCAGCAGGGTCAGCCCTTCCATAAGTTTCCAGTGTCTGACATTTAAAGTTACATCATGTTGCCCCTGACAGCTTCTGTTAACCTGAGCCTTTGAGTGAAATTCAATTCTTTGGGGCATTCTGTTCCTTCACCTTCCACATTGCCATTTAAATTCTTTCTCAAAGGTTCCCCTGCCCACATGCACAACCAGTGGCTGTTCCTGCAGGAGTGTAAGGATTGCTGTGGTGGAATATCTATACCTGAGCTATTGACCTCAGCTGAATCTGATGATCATGAAAATAAATAGGTCCTTTAGGGCCTGATCTGTGCCAGCCTGCTCTGTTGGGATGAGTTCAGCCCTGCCCCAGACCCCACGGGCTGTGGTGACCATGAGAAGGGTCAGCACAATTTGCTGACATGTGAGGATTCTGTGGAGGTGGCTCCGCTCCTGCCCAGAGTGCTGCACTGACAGGACAGGAGGGGGATGCTGGATTTGCCCTTTTCTGTAGCTCCTCCAATCCACAGGGACCTCTCCCCCACCACAGGGGCTGCCTGTGTGCAGGAAGGTCCATGACCACCATCTGCTGGAGAAGTCTCATGTTCAGCATCACTTCCCTCCCTCCCGGCCCAGAGGCCCTCCCCAGACTCAGCAAAGGACTCTTGGCTGCAGCCAGAAGTGCTCTGGAGCCCTCAGAGTCTCAGGAACACGTGGCTGCCTCCCTGCCTAGGTTCTCCAGCTTGGCTTCCCTGCCTCAACCCCCAAATGATCCACCTGAGGGCCTGCAGGTGTCAGGGCACTGCTCCAGGACACCCTTCCTGACAGGCTCCAGCACACAGTGCTGTTCCACAGGGCTCCTGCTTCCTTCTGCTGGGCTGCTGGCTCTTTCCTCTGGGCTAGAAAAGGGAGAAGCTTCCAGTTTGGGAATGAAGCAGCCACATTGATTTAATTTAGTTTTTCTAGCCTGTTAATCTGGCTAATCATTTTATGAGTAACCTTCAGAAGTGGTGATAACCATTTATGGATTTATTTAAATCTATGGATTTCACATAAAACTGCTCATGTAAGGTGCCAGACTCATACAGCTGCAGGAAAAGAATTTGTACTAACACTCTGTTACAAACCTATTAAGGCAGATACAGGCAGGGAAATCCTCAGGAACTAATGTAGGACAGAATAGAGGAGATTGTCCTTGGAGGCACTTATTTCCACTTACTTCTCTCATAGACACAGTTGGCTTAGATGGAACCCTGACTTTTGGGTGGCTGTCAGGTGAAGTAGAGCCTCGATGTGGGTGAGGTCCACTGAGCTCAGAGTTGATAGGAACTGCCAGTGTGAAGCTCCCCCAAATGCTGAGCAGATGTCTCAAGTTTGGCATCAAGGCAGTAAAGAGCTCCCAAGTGGTGTCGTTTTCCACCTTCACAATTTGGCCATAAACCTGCAATCTGGTTCTATAAATACAAGCTGGAGGCAGAAAAACTTCTTCCTTTCCAAGACTCTTCTGCAGGTAGACTCTCTGAAGCCATGAAGAGCTCAAGTGGCACAGTTGGGTACCATAAAATAGAGAACACACTAAGATTTTTCCCATTGCTGCCAGGTTTGGGAATTAATATACACATGGAAAGGGGAAGGGGGAAGCATTGACAATATTCAACGAAAGAGTAGACAGGAACCTGCTGTTTCTTGAACAAAGTTTGCCATTTACTGAATCAAAAAACTGATGTGATGTCACCCTTCCATGAGCAGTGTGGCTCCTGGGCCTGTTCTGGGGCTGGGCTGTGTAACATCTCCGAGCTGCCATGAGCTACAGAGGAAATCCTGCCTTTCCATGTGGAGTGTGTGGGGTTGACTCCCACTGCTGGCAACCTGGCAAGGTGGTGTTAAAGGAAATTGTGACTGAGGGGTGCAGGAAGTGATGCTCAAGTACCTGAGTTCTCTTACCAAACTTCTGAATGTTTGGCTCTGCAGCCAAACTCATTAGAATCAGATTTATAGATTTGCATGTTCATTTTAGAGATTACTTCTGATTCCATAATTAAATAATCAGTAGAAAAAGAAAACAGTTTCTATGCCCTCCATACCAGGAGGGTGTTGTTGGTTCCTCCTTTCAGTTAACAGGTGTGCACTGGACTTTTCATGGCAGTGGACCAGGTGTTCAAATTTCTTATGACAGAAATAAATGGCTGCATTTGACTAACCCGTTTCTCTTGTTCCAGGATGCCAAGGGACATCCTGCATCCTTGCAGCGGTGGCTGTGATGCAGCCTGGCTGCTGACACAGCAGCCATATCCGGGTGTCTGTGGGGAGATTGCTGCACTCTGTAGCCCCTGTCTTTCCTTTCCAGGCACACCTACCTGGAGAAGTTCCTGACAGAGCAGATGATGGAGAGAAGAGAGGACGTGTGGCTGCCGCTGATCTCGTACCGGAACTCGCTGGTGACGGGCGGCGAGGACGACAGGATGTCAGTGAACAGCGGCAGCAGCAGCAGCAAGGCCTCCTCCGTGAGGAACAAGAAGGGCCGACCCCCCCTCCACAAAAAGAGAGTGGAAGGTTTGTGAGGGCACCGGGCTTTGGCATGCTGGACACTCAGGGGAGGGGGCTCTACCAGTTCATGCAGAAACACGTGATACGTTCTGGATGTGGCACAACCAAGGCATCTGTTCTGCTGGATGTGTCTTTAATGGAAATACCACCACAGCTCCCCATTCTTGTTTGTCTTGACCAAAATTGGCAATCAGAACTGTCAAAAGGTGTTACTGCTGGTGTCTGTGGAGTTACCTGCTCTTTCTCACTCCTGGAATGCTGGATTTCTGCCTATGGTTCCCTCTGGGAAGTTGTTAATTCTCAGGGATTTGGAACGGATTCCAGGCAGAAATTCTGATAACAGATCTCTGTTGTTGCAGGGCCATTGGGAACAGTGAAAAGACACCATTTTTGTTTAAAATAGTACTGATATATAGTGTTGTCTGCATTTACTCTTCCTGGGACCTCAGATGTGTTCATCAGGAATCTGGCTGTGATAGCAAATTTCTTACAAGGCTGCATCTGTTCCTGGTCAATCTGTGCTGTAGTGTGGACTTTTGTGAATACTAATTTGCTGTTCCACTATACAGTAGATGTGAGTGGGATCTTAAACTTCAGGGTTTTTTCCAAGTTCAGTATCTATGGCAATAATCCCTCAGTAAGGAATGTAGTGTCCATTTGCCTGAATATACAGCAATTTCCCATAATACTCCTCAAAAGTTTGCCAATGCAGCCAGGTCCATTCTCCACTGCAGCTCATGGTGAGCAGTCCCTGCACCAGGTCCTTCTCACAACCAACCTCAGGTGTAGGTACATCAAATACTGGCTCCTTTTTTCAGGCACTGTTTTCCTTCTTTCATGATGCCAAGATTTTCACAGAATTCAGCCACTGAGGTTTTCTTCTTTCCTCTTGTTGCCATTTTTATTCTATTCTACTGTATTTTACCAATATCTTATTTTTTTACCCTGGGGGTGTAGTAGTATCTTTGTCTCCCAGTAAGGCAAATCTCAGACTTAAGATGTAGTTAATTTCCACCCTAAAGGATCTAACAGCAGAAAGGTCACTGCAGAAATTACTGTGGCATCAAAGAACCATATCCAGTCCCCTCTGGTTCCTTTCTCACCTAAATCCAGTACGGACTGGCTTGGAGAACATTCCCTGTTGCTTCTGAGAGGAAATGTGCTCTGTGCCATTTCTTCAAAATGCCTTAAGGAAATCAACGTGTTTTTTAAAAAAATTCCTAACATAAAAATGATTGAAATGTCAAATTGAGAATAAATAGGCAGCTTTTTAGACATTTATGCCTAAAGGGTAGTAAAAGGCAATGGAAGGGTGAACAGATCCATGGAGATCCCCATCTACTTTTCTCACCACGCATTTCCTGTTAGTAAATCTGTGATCTTGTAATCTCTGTTGTCATCTCTTGTCTTTCACTCCAGCAACTGAATTTTTGTGTGTTTCTCTGACTGCACACTTCCTGCTCTAACCCATTCTCAAGTCCTCCCTCTTCCCTCCTCTCTGCTTTGCTTCTTTCCCAACACAAGCACAGGATCCCAGCTAGACCTTCAGTCATCTTCATCTCATTTTTATTGCTATGTGTCACCTCCCTGCTCCACTCCAGTGGTTCTGACAGTTCTAAATATCTGGAGTGACCAGATTTTGGGGTTTGTGCTCCACCTTGTCTTAGTGTTTAAGTGGATCTTGGTTGCTGTAGGTGCATGAGATTATCAATCTCCAATTGTAAACTCAGGAATTGGGAATTACCTTGGTTGTTTATGTTCAGGATACCCAGCAGCTGAGGCCGTGCTGCAGTAGGACTTTGTTTGCAATGGGGTTTATGTTTGTTCCCTTTAAATTGTTGTTATTGCTGAGAATAGAGGCTAGTAATACTTAACAGTATCTAAAATTAGAACTGAAAATCTTACATTTCCAAGCATTTATCCAGGTGATCCCTCAGTGCACACTTGTTTGAATGCTGCCCTGCATGTAGTCAGAACTGAGCAGTGATTTCAGTGTTCTCTCTCTAGATGAGAGCCTGGAAGGCTCCTGGCTGAACAGGAATGAGAACATCCATACTCCAGGGACACTGCAGACACCTCAGCTCACCTCCACTGTCCTGAGAGAGAACACCAGACAAATGGGAGAGCAGATCCAGGAGCACGAGTCGGAGCAGGGATCTGAACAGGATTTTTTACACAAGTAAGTCTTGGAATTTCAGCATCAGGTACAGTCAGGCAGGCAAAGGAATTGCTTGTGGTTTATAGGGATATTGTTAGCCTGTGGCTCCTGAGATGCAGTGCTGATTTGCAAAGCCACCTAGAAATGCCTTGGCCACAGCTCAGCAATACTTGGATTGTCTTCAGGTCCCAGAAAAATATGTTGTAATGGAATAATAGTAGGAATTCCTTATGTTAAGACTATCCCATAGCATAGCCATGCATTTCTGGTCAAATCATCCTAGTGCTTCTGTCCCAAACTGGGTGGAATTGTTTCTTTGGAAGACCTGTAGATACTCTCTTTTCTTTCCCCCTGCCTGATATCAGAATTAAGGTTCTCCAGACACCCTGACTGATATTTTCTAAATTTCCAGCTGCTGAGCTAGTAATTCCTGATTTGAGGTAATTGCCCTAAATGATATATTCTTTTTGTCCTTTTACTCCCATTTTATCACCTCCATTTAGAGGAAAAACACTGATTATTTTCTGTCAGTGGATGTTGGCAGCAGGTGCTGCCAGGATGCAGCAGGGGAGCACAGGCTGGCTGTGGGTCATAGGCTGCTGGTGGCATCAGCAGGGCAGCCTGGAAGGTATTTACACGTGGGTGAGGTACTGGCCCTTAAGTTGTAAAAGCCATTTGTTTTTCACATTGTGTGACATTTTTGTCACTTACTAATTTGGATCCATTCTTGCTCATATTTTGCCTCATCTGACACACTAAAGTACTATTTAATAACAAACTTTAGAGGTGCTCCTGCTCCAGGTGCCTGCCCCTAATGGAGGAGCAATGTCAGTGTTTCCATACCTGCTTTTATTGCAAGTTAATTGATTTTTTGTGTGCATACAGTGAGAGGAGACAGAGTGTGGAAGGGAATCCAGAAGATGTGTACAATGATGGATGGGATTTAATTATCCTAATCTGAAGCATGGCCAGACACAGAACTTGGAGACAGAAACTGCCCCAGAACAGGCAGCTCAGAACTGTTACTGCTGTGGGTCCTAACTTACTCCCTGTGTGTCAGTCCCCAGATGCAGATCTCGTGGCTGGGCCAGCAGAAGCTGGAGGATCTCAATCGAAAGGACAGGACAGGAATGAACTACATGAAAGGCAGAAGTGGCGTAAGGCACGCAGTGTAAGTGCTCACAGGCTGCTGCCCTCAGCACCATGTGCAGGACTCCAGTGAAATGTTCCCTTTCCTGCTCCTTGCCAGTGATTTCTGTGCCATTTCACCCTTGTGGGAGAGCAGAGGGACAGTTTGCAGTGCTGGGATGGATCCAGCCCAGCACTGCCATTCTCTGACTGTGGCCAGCCACCAGGCCCAGTGAAGGTGCAGTTCCCCGTTCCTCAGAGGGTTCCATGGTTTGTGTGCTGTGTAATTCCCTGGGAGCTCTGCCCATGAGCCAGTTCCTGTGGCTGTGCTCTCCATCCTTTTCTGCCAAGGTGTCCCCCTGTGCAGTAATGGAGGGAACACACATGGGTGAACACTGGGGCACCACATGCTCTGTGCTGATCCCACCGAGTCCTTTAGCAGGGGGGCTGGGATCCTTACAGCCTTTGGAACTGGGCTTGAAGGCCCTGCTGGAGTCCCAGGGCTTTACCAGTGACCCTGGCAAACAGTGTCACTCCTCCTTGGTAAAAGGGCAGGCAAACACAAGAGCAGTTACTGCCCAGTAACATCTGCAGTTGCTGATCATAGTGCTGTCAGTGGGACTTGCTGCTTCAGCCTGGGCCAGGGTTTGGGGAGGGGAGTTCATGTGTGATTTTCCTCTGTTTGGTATTCCAGAGAGCCTGTTGGCTTTACCCTCAGCATCAGCATTAAATGATAGGGTTTGAGCATTCTTTTTAATGACAAAGATCAGGCCTGGGAAGTTTTTTAGCCCAGAAATGACTCTCTCTCTCTTTAATCAGACGAGGTCTAATGGAAGATGACGCTGAGCCCATCTTTGAAGATGTAATGATGTCCTCGCGAGGCCAGCTAGAAGACATGAATGAAGAATTCGAGGACACAATGGTCATTGATCTGGTCAGTAAATCTTTTCAATGGCAAGTTTAAAACAGTTGAAAGCTAATTTAAAAGGAATTTTAGAAGTGTAAACAAAAATTTCCAAAATTTTGAGTCTGGCCTCCAGTTGTCTGAACATTAGAGTGGGAATGATGTGAGCACTTCCCAGAGCCTCCTGCTGCAGGCTTGAGCCCAGTGGGTTTGTTCCAGAGACACACAAGGAGCATTGCTTAGTGCTCCTTCTTCCCAAGACTGTTCTTGGACAGCTTCTGCCAGCAGCAGCATCACACACCTCAGACTTGTCAGCCCACAAGGATCAGGTTGTGAGTTACAGGCTGTGCTGACAAAGCGCTTTATTGCATCCATGATGTGTCAGACTGACACAGCCAAGGGGTCTCTCTTTGTCCCTTTCCTGGTCAATTTGGTTTTGAGGAGGTGGGCTGGGCAGAGGATCCTTACTCGAGGTCTCAGTTAGGTCACAGCCAGAGGGAGCACAGGCACTGGTGTGTGGATGGGAGCTCCTTAAATAGGAATTGCTCTCAAACAGGTCCCATCATTGGCAGCCTCAGTCCCTTCCAGTTCTGTTCTGACTGCTTGGAGAGGTTCCTTGCAGCACTTACAGCCTTAACTGGCCTCCCCTCTGGAAATGACTCCTCCCTTGCAAAATGGGATAAAGGAGCAATTTGCTTTATACACCTCACCATTTTTATGTCTGTTTCTCCTTTCACATCCAAGCAACAAGCCCTAGGTTATATTAGGACTGGGCTACAGTGTCTTGGAAAAGGCTGCTGCATACTGAGGTTATTGCCAGCACTCATTTAATTACCAAGTAACATCCCAGGCAAGGAAGGAGTTGATGAAACCAGTGAGGCTCACACTTACTCCTGTGCTTGTGGGGAAGGACACCACAAAGGGTTTAAGCCTCAGAAATATTTCAGTATCTTCTGTACCCTTTCTGTTGGTTAATCCATTTTTGACCATGTCAGAGCTCGTTTCACTATGAACTTGAAGCATAAAGAGTTAAGAGGGAGTTTCTTTGCAGTCTGGCCTAGAGTCCCAATACAGAAACATCCTTAAGTCAGCAGGAACCTTGGGCAAGTCCTTAACTGTGAGCACATAGAGTCCATCAGCTTTTACCATTCTTCCAATAACAAAGAGTGGAGGGAGCGCTGTCCTGTGTTTGCCCCAGAGGTTTTGTGGCACAGGGGAAGGTGGGGCAGGGACAGGGCCCTGTGGCAGGCAGGGCTCTGTGTGTCCCGTGCTGCTTCAACTCCCGTGTGTTGCAGCCGCCGTCACGGAACCGGCGCGAGCGCGCGGAGCTGCGGCCGGACTTCTTCGACTCGGCGGCGATCATCGAGGACGATTCAGTAAGGGCCGGTTCCTTTGCTTGCTTTGAGCTCTGCTTTGAGTGTCCCACCTCCAGTAACCGCTGTGTTTTCCCCCTTTGCAGGGATTTGGCATGCCCATGTTCTGAAGTCCGGCGAAGACCTTTTACAAACTTGGAACTCTATTGTTTAGAGCTAGAGGCCTATATACTGTGATAGCTTGTATGAAAACCACATTTTTGATGTGATACAGTTTGATTTTTAACCAAATGATTGAGGTCAACCCCTTGGTGTAGTGACGGAGAGAAGAGGAGCTTCTTATTGACACACGGGAATGTTGGCCAATCCAGTCACCTCAGAAGGGCTGACCTAAAAAATCATTTGTATCCCTGTTCTTGACTGTCCTAATACAGATTTTTTTTTTCTGGATGAGGAGGAAGTTTTAAATTGTTAAGACAGCTGTCAAAATAAACACTGTTCTACATATGTTTTCTGAAAACAACATTGAGTGAAAACAGAACTTTTTTAACTTTATTTTTCTGCTGTACAATTTAAAACGGTTTTAACATTTGCCTTTTTATGTTTTCAAAGCTAGCCATTTTTATTAAACCTATGCCTATCAGCCACTGACTAGCAAGGCTGCTGTAAGCAGGTCGTTCTGGCTACAGAAAAGTGTTTTGGAACACACTGGATTTGATTAACATTATGGTACGCTTATGTCCTCTCATAGGCATGGAGAAGAACACTCTCAGAGAAGAGGTTAGAATTCTAATGACGTGCATCTCTGCCAAAAAATTTCAGATTCTGATATGATAAACCCAGATTTTATACTCTTGAGAAGATTTATTTTTATTTATAATGGGACATAAAGTAAGAGATGTCCATGAAGCCACTTTTCCAACAGATGCTGTGTAACATTCATTTTATATAGCACATGGGGACACAAAACCAGTAAATTTTCTATTGGTACTTGCTCTGTGCATTTTTAGCAACTTATACCAGCAAATAAAGTATTCTCAGTAAAACACACAAATGGTTCTCAAGTAATCACTTTGCTGTTTTTACTACCTACTTCAAGCCTGCCAACACAAGGTACATAAACAGCAACTTTCCTATTAAAAAAAAATAGTTCAAGGGTGGGGGAAAGGATCACTTTAGCATACTAAAAGTAATTTTAACTGTACCATAAAACAGAGTCTACTTTCCATGCCGTAAATACCCTTTTCCGCTATTTTTGTAAATTAATTTTGCCAGTTAGAAGTACTGTATGTGCTGCATAGAAATTTGTGCTTAGATGGTGAAGTTCTTAAGCTTACAATGGACTACAGCTACATTTTCAGTGTTAACTGTGCATATTGAGAGTAATTCTTTGGAAAAAAATATGATTTTTCAAAAAAGCTAAAAACATCAAAAAAAATTCAAAAAAAACCCCAAAACATTCTCAGCTAATTCATTGTACTAAGATATTTTTCAATGTCTTCAATAATTTGGAATTTCATTATGCTTCGATTTTATGACTCGATGTAGTAGCTGCTCCTTACCCAGCCTGGCCTGGCACCAGCAGTCCTGGCCCTCCACAGCTCCAGATCTCCAACAATTGGCCCCAAAAGCTTCATCTTTCTGCACTCAGTAGCAGTTGGGATACAAAGCAGACTGACCCACTTGGAGCACAGCAGTTTCAGAGGTGCTTTGGTTTTAGCAACTGCAGAATAATCACGGAGCTTTTTCTGTTTCGAGCTTTCTGGACACCAGCCCAACCCCTCAGTGCCCAGCATGGGCAGGGAAAGAGCCCAAACTGACCCAGCCCAGCACCTCACCCAGCTGAGCTTGGCTCTCACAACACGTGCAGTTCTCAGACACGGTTGCCAAAAATGTTTGACCAGGTAATTCAGCCATTCCTTAGTGTGGGTTGGGGATCTATTAATCCAAGAAGTAGCTGGAACTTTATAAACCCTGTTACCTCCCTCTGTGCACCCCCACGGCCTGGGGGCAGGAATGGCTGCAGGACCTGTCCCAGGGTCACTCTGTGAGCATGGTGGCACAACAGATGCTGCCCAGTTTGAGTCAGAGTCTCAGACAAACCTTGTGCTTCACAGTCCTCTGTGTGGAAAACTGATTCCTAATTTAACATTGTAGAATACTGTATAACAAACATTTATTATCATGGTACCTGCAATGGGTCTCCAGTTCAGTTTGCAGTCAATAGGTTTTTGTATTATGAGTGTCTCCTTGATTGGTTTTGCTAGTAATTCTGTAAATTGTACATTTACAATATGAGGTTTTTTTTCCTTTTGTACAATTTAAAACTGATGCTTCACCTTTCATTTAATAAACTATTCAAAATCATGAGTATGATGAGCACCCTCTTCACTATAGTTTTTTTTAAGTGCTTGTTTGGACCATCCCATTTTGTCATCCCATATAGTAGTAAGAATTCAAGGAATTATTAAAGGCAAAACTGACAGGTAGCTTTCATGTAGTCCAGGCTTCACAACCAGACCTGTACCCCACTCCCTTACCCACTCAGCCTCCAGAGTGATGGAAACCCTCTCTGGGCTTCCTTCTCCCCTCCACCATCATGTGGTTTGGTTGGGGGGGTAGAGGGGTGGTGAATGTGGGATTGCTGCAAACCTCGGAAGGCACCACCCCAGATGCAAGAGCTGCACTGCTAAAACTTACAATTTCTTGAAATGCCACAAGGTTTGAGAAGAAGTTCTCTCTTCTGCCCTGTATGTCTGAAGTGACCTGGAGTCTGTGGGAAGAAACTGCCATGGCAAAGGCTTCAAAGTTCTAACAACCAGCTGGGCTAAAGGGAGTTTCACAGATTCCTGAAACAAAATGTCCATGTTACTCCCATGTCTCAGGGAGCAAGGTGCTATTTTTGTCCAACCCATGAAAGATTTCATCTCTGTAGTGCTAAAGAAAACTAACTGCTTTATCACCTGGCCCACTTTCTAAGGAAAAATAACTGGAGTCATGAAAAGGAACAAGATGCAGCTGCTGAGGCACAGGGATGATTCCAAGTCTCAACTACTCCCAAGACAAGAGTCTGAAAGCTCAGTCTCCAAATGCTTGTAAGTTACGGCAACTCCTGCACTGAGGAACACAGTAAGTAACTTGCCTTGCTGCTAAGTTCAAGGGCTACACATTATTTAAGGGATTTTTATTTTGTACCTCTTGTTTTTTTAGGTGACTGGACTTCAAGGAAATTCTCAGAAGCCTCATCAGAGCAGCTTTCAAACCTGTTTCCAGCATGTCCTGGTAGAGCAACTGCCTGTTTGGAAATGGAGAGGATCTAAAAGCCCAGTTCTTGTGCTGGCAAGACGTTGGAGTCTGTAGCAATACTGAGGTTAGGAAACAACTAACAAAGCTGTACTTTCCTCTTTATGACAAGTGAGTTTCTCATGGATTGTTTCCTGACTCTGGGCAAGCTGAAGAAGCTGTGTATGCATCCCTTCATCTCACAGTTTCTGCCTCTAAACCTGCTTTACCTTTGGAAAATCTTCTTGGGCATTATAAACCCTTACAGTTTTCTCACAGTTAACTAGGAACTCCCACCATGGCCATGACATTCACCACAGTAACATTTGAATTTACCTTCCCCTGTTGCAGCCAGCTCTGTTCCCTGGGACAGCACCAGGAGCCTTTTCATACAGAAGCCACACAGGACAGCCAGTGTGTCTGCAGCCTGAAGGTGCTGCCTCCCTCCCATGCAGCCAAACACCAGGGGAGCTGGAACTCCTCCTTGTGCTGCTCCTTTTATATTGTGCTTTTAGATGATGTTCAGCTGTTGCTTTCCCCCCCAGGTAGAGGCTCAAGCTCCACAGCTCTACTCACTGCACCTTGCTGGGAAGAGAAGCTGCCTGGGCCACGGCTGTCCTAGCTCTGCTCCTTCAGGCTCGTGCTGGGTGTGAGCAGCAGCAGCTGCAGTGCAGGTAGGGAGGCTCTGTCACACAACAAATCCCAGTTACTCAGGGCAGCCAGGTGCCCACAGCAGCAGCACTGAATGTGACAGTGGCTGTTCCTCGCTGCCCTGGGGCTGGAGGGAAGCTGCGGCTTCTACTGAGCAGGTGAGCACAGGCCCAGAGCTGATCAGAGTAACGCCTCCTGCAGTGGTTCCTGGCCAGGCTGGCAAATAATCCCAGAGAATGGAGGCTGAAGGGGCATCTGGAGGTCTCTGTTCCAGCCTCTGCTGAGGGGGGAGGGTATGCATGTCCCACCAAAACTGCCCTTTTTTGTCTGCTGTTCTTAAGAGTGGACTGGCTGTGCCTCCCCTGTGCCACCCACCTCTGTCCTGGGGCTTAGACCCAGCTGCTGCAGGCAGCAGGGAAAAGCTGCCACGGGCCAGACTAACAGAGGAACAGAACAACTGAGTCTGGGATCAGCAGGGCCTGGTCCCCAGGGCACTGGAATCCAAGCTCAGGATTTTCCTCTCTCAGTCAGTGGTGGAGCCAAACTCCAAAGTCTGTGGCAGTGGAATACCCTTGAACTCCACAGGGGTCCAACTTCCCTTGGGGTGGGAGGTGGCTCAGGCAGGACTGAGCCACCTCCAGGGCCTATGGAAAGAGGGAGCCAAGGAATGTTTGACCTTGAGCAATTAGTAACAGCTCACCTGCAGCAGGCAGGGCAGGGTGTGTTGAGTATTAACCACCAAGAAAGGGTTTAGAGAGGCAAACTGGTCAGACCCCCAGATTAAATATATGCTATGATTTATTGATGATTATTGGCAAAAATCAAAATTAAAAGAACTATTTCTATTGCCAAGCAGCCCTCCATTAACCAGAGAGTTAACCAGAACTCATATTCAGAATGTCTCCCAGCATGGGCAGCCCCTGCTCACCCTCACAGTGGGATGTTGGCATGTTTCTTCCAAGGACTGGACTGGGATTTACTGGCCAGGACATCGAGGTCATGGCAGATGCGAGTGCGGGTGGTCGAAGGCTGGATGATGTCATCAACAAACCCTGCAAAAGATGAAAACAAAAAAACCTTCAACCTGACCAACCATGAAGTGTTTGCCTCCCAGCCTTCTGTGCCTAGGCTAACCCATAAGTTAGCAAAATCAAAACAATGGCTGGAATAAGTAAGTTCACAAGTTATAAATTAACTACATTTAAAATAGACTGAGAAGGAAACACTCCTGAGTCTGTTTTTTAATTCTGAATATAACTTGCCTTTTAGAGCACAGTTACTACTCCAAAACTGGAAGTAGAAGCAATGGAAAAACTTGAGAACTGAGAGTTCTGGAGAACATAACTGGCCCTAATCTTTCTTCAGACCACTGCTTTGCATTGAGGGCTGCATAAAAGATTGTCAAAGCACCTATGCCATAAAGGAAAAGGCTGAATTTTGAGACACCTTCTACTATTGACATCATTGAAAATGCACTTCACAGAGCAGTCCCTGCTTTTCACCAAGCTCTTTGCAGCTGAAGATGTGTCCTGTGTCCAGATGTTGTCCACATGCACAGGTTGTGGTTAAGCATCACCTTTCTAACTCAGACACAACTACCTCACCTAAATAACTTAATTGTTAGCAAAAGGTTTACTCAATAGCACAACTTTATCTCCATGCAATGCTAAACCAAGTGAAACACAGTGTGGGAGATGACCATACCTCTTACAGCAGCAGGGAAAGGGTTTGCAAACTTATCCACGTACTCCTCCTCTGCATTTGCCTCCTTTCCTCTGAAGATGATCTGGACAGCACCCTGGGAACAGAAGGACTCTGTCAGTGACAGGCCCTCAGGCTGTGCCCTCCAGGTGAGGGAGTACTGCCCTGCCACCGTGCTGGCACCGCAGTGAGGAGGGCCTGGACTCACCTTGGCTCCCATCACGGCCACCTCAGCTGTGGGCCAGGCGTAGTTCACATCTCCTCGCAAGTGCTTGGAGCTCATCACGTCGTAGGCACCTCCATAGGCCTGTGACACAAACCAGGGCAGCCACTCCAGGAGTGGCCTTGCAGCAGCAATAGCCTGCATTGCTCCTGCAGCTTTTTCTAGTCCAGAGACAAGCAGCTGGGGCTTTTCTCTGAAGGAGAGCGTGAGCATCTCCACTTTGTGGCAGCCATCTCCTAGGAACAGACACCACTTCAACCAGAGCCCCAAAAGAGCAAGGAAGGGGGGCTGCTGACAAAGCCCATTCTGCAAGGCAGGCGGGGAGGGGTCAGTGTGTATCCAGCAGGCCTCAACCTGCACCCTGCACATGCACACAAACCAAGCAGGCAGTGTGCTTCTGGAATTTCCTGGCCAGGGAATGCAGCACTCAGGCTCTGCAGTGCTCCACTCTGGAACTGGAAATGCTCCAGACAGCAGTGATGAACAGATACTGCAGGACTGCAGAGCAAACTGCAGTGCAGTCCCTGTCAGGGCAGTACTGAACAGTGCAGCAGGGCTGCAGGATGGACAAGTAGTGCATGGAAATACTTGGAAAAATCAGAGAAAGCAAAGAACAGAAATTTCTTCTTAATTTTTGCCATGACAAGCCAAAAGAGTACCAGAAAAACAAGCAGGAGGGGCAGAGCAGCAAGGAGAAGGCTAAGGTTGTAAGGTGCCAGCCCCAGAGCTTATGGCAGTAGGGTATCAGGTACCTTATGGAGAAAGGAAGATGAGGTAGAGCATGGCAGAAGTCTGGGAAGGAAAAGAAGCCACATGAGTGTTCAACCTGCAGACAGCAGAAGACAGATGTAGCCAGTTCTGGGTTTGCAGAGGGAGGCCCAAGAGGCAAGAAAGCAGAATTGCTGCAAACAGATGGCATGTCCTTAGTGAGACAGGCTGGGTGACACAGGACAAGTACTTGAGTGAAGGCATTCCAGAGAGAAAGGAGGGAGTAGAAACTGGGAGTTCCAGATGGGTACAGAGACAAGAGGAAGGAAGGAACTAAGGTCTGGGAATAGAAGTGGCCTCTCGTAATGTTATACAAGGAGGTGTTACCAAATGGGACAAACAGAGATGTGACAATGATAGAAAGCACCACTGGGACAGACGGACAAAGCTTGGTTTAACTAAAATTGTCACTAGTTCAAAAGGAACTCTGGAAGACCTCCATGGAATTTGCCAGCTTACCTTTCTAGTGATGACAGTGATCTTAGGCACAGTTGCCTCTGCAAAGGCAAAGAGCAGCTTGGCACCGTGACGAATAATCCCCCCGTACTCCTGAGCCGTGCCTGCAAAGGACAGGGAACTGCTTCACTCCAGGGAATTCACACAAGCCCATCATCCATCACCAGGAGCAAACCTGACCACCACCACAGCCATGTTAATACCCTGGAGAAGATCATGCCAGGCAGTGTTCTCTGCAAAATACTGAGCAACTCAACAATCAGAGCAGCGGCTGTTTGTATGGAAGATC